TTGAAGGTCAAGGTCATTTATGGATGAAGGTCAAGGTTAGTGTGGTCTACTGAAAGGTCTTGTCCCAAGGGTTGTTGTGGCCAAGTATGAAGACAATACACCAAGAAATAAAAAAGTTATGATCCAGGTACAAGTTTTCGGACGGCAACGGCAACGGCAACGGCAACGGAGACGGCAACGGCAACGGCAACGCCGACCTGACTATAACAATACCTCAACTTTTTTTTCAAAAAAAAAAAAAGTCGAGCTAAAAATGAGCTGAAATTATACTACCATTCAAAGACCCTTTGATCTTGACCTTTGACCAATTGACCCAAAAATCTAAAATGGGTCATTTACTAGTCTTGAACAATCAATATGTGAAATATGAAGACTTTGTGATAAGAATTAACCAAGATAATAAGCAGGAATAATATTGCAATTCAAGGCCTCTGTGACCTTGACCTTTGACCTAGTGACCCAAAAATCAATAGGATCATTAACTAGTTAAGACCAATCAATATGTGAAATATGAAGACTTTGTGATGATTTGTAACCAACATAATGAGCAAAAACCATTCTGACATTTAAAGCCCCTGTGACCGTGACCTTTTGACCTAGTGACCCCAACAACAATAGGGGTCATCTACTAGTTATGTCCAATCAATATGTGAAATATGAAGACTGTGATGATTCGTAACCAAGATAATGAGCAAAAACCATTCTGACATTTAAAGCCCCAGTGACCTTCACCTTTGACCTAGTGACTCCAGCATCAAATGGGGTCATCTACTAGTTATTACCAATAAATATGTGAAACATGTAGACTTTGTGATGAATTCTTTTCAAAATAATCAGCGGAACCATTCAGATATTTAAGGTCCCTTTAACATTGACCTGTCACTTTAAATCAGTAGGAATCATCTCCTTGGTATGGCCAATCAATATGTGAAATATGAAGACTTTGTGATAAATAGTAACTAAGATAATAAGCCAAATAATATTACCATTCAAGGCCCCTGTGACCTTTACCTTTTGACCTTGTGACCCCAAAATCAAAAGGGGTCATCTACTAGTTATGTCCAATCAATATGACAAATATGAAGACTTTGTGATGATTTGTAACCAAGATAACGAGCAAAAACCATTTCTGACATTTAAAGTCCCTGTGACCTTGACCTTTGACCTAGTTACCCCAATATCATATGGGGTCATCTACTAGTTATGAGCAATCAATATGTGAAACATGTAGACTTTGTGATGAATTATTTTCAAGATAATCAGCGGAAACCATTCAGACATTTAAGGTCCCTTTAACCTTGACATTTCTCTTAAAATCAGTAGGAGTCATCTACTTGTTATGACCAATCAATATAAGAAATATGAATACTTTGTGATGAATAGTAACGAAGATAATAAGCCAAACCATATTACCATTCAAGGCTCCTGTGACCTTGACCTTTTGACCTAGTGACCCCAAAATCAAAAGGGGGCATCTACTAGTTATGTCCAATCAATATGTGAAATATGAAGACTTTGTGATGATATGTAACCAAGATAATGAGCAAAAACCATTATGACATTTAAAGCCCCAGTGACCTTGACCTCTGATCTAGTGACCCAAACATCAAAAGGGGTCATCTACTAGTTATGACTAATCTATATGTGAAACATGTAGACTTTGTGATAAATTCTTTTCAAGATAATCATCGGAAACCATTCAGACATTTAAGGCTCCTTTAACCTTGACCTTTCTCTTAAAATCGGTAGGAGTCATCTACTTGTTATGACCAATCAATATGTGAAATATGAAGACTTTGTGATAAAAAGTAACTAAGATAATAAGCCAAATCATATTACTATTCAAGGCCCATGGAAATCGACCTTTTGACCTAGTGACCCCAAAATCAAAAGGGGTCATCTACTAGTTATGTCCAATCAATATGTGAAATATGAAGACTTTGTAATGATTTGTACCAAGATAATGAGCAAAAACCATTCTGACATTTAAAGCCCCTGTGACCTTGACCTTTGACCTACTGACCCCAACATTAAATGGGGTCATCTACTAGTTATGACAAATCTATATGTGAAACATATAGACTTTGTGATGAATTATTTTCAAGATAATCAGCGGAAACCATTCAGACATTTAAGGCCCCTTTAACCTTGACCTTTCTCTTTAAATCAGTACGAGTCATCTACTTGTTATGGCCAATCAATATGTGAAATATAAAGACTTTGTGATAAAAAGTAACTAAGATAATAAGCCAAATCATATTACCATTCAAGGCCCCTGTGACCTAGACCTTTTGACCTAGTGACCCCAAAAATAATTTGGGTCATCTTCTAGTTATTTCCAATCAATATGTGAAATATAAAGACTTTGCGATGAATTGTAAGCAAGATAATGAGCAGAAACCATTCTGACATTTGAGGCCCCTGTGACCTTGTGCTTTGACCTAATGACCCCAAAATCAATCGGGGTCATGTACTAGTTATGTCCAATCAATATGCGAAATATCAAGACTAAGATAATCAGCTGAAAGCATTCTGACATTTAAGGCCCCTGTGACCTTGACCTTTGACCTAGTGAACCCAAAATTAATAAGAGTCATCTTCTAGTTATGACTAATCAATATGTGAAATATGAAGACTTTGTGATGAATTCTTTTCAAGATAATCAGCCAAAACCATTTTGACATTTAAGGCTCCTGTGACCTTGACCTTTGACCTAGTTACCCCAAAATCAATAGGGGTCTTCTACTAGGTATGACCAATCACTTTGTGAAAGATGAAGGCTTTGTGAGAAATTGTTTTCAAGATAATCAGCGGAAACCATGCAAAACAATATACCCCCTCTTCTTCGAAAGGGGGCATAATATCATTTTTTAAGGAAAATTATAAGTTAAAGGGGAGAAAAAATAATCGTGTGAGAGTTATTAACCTTGTCACATAAGATGAGGTTGATGATAAAGAACATATATTTGAAGTTTGAAGTTGATCCCTTCAGAGGGCCATGATTGCCCTGAAGTCGCTCACCTGTATATAGGCCCCATGAGCGGGGCCAGTTTAAACCCCAGGGCTTTTATTTGAACAAACTTGGTAGACACCCATTAGAAGATGTTTCATGCTAAACATCTAAGGTCTAGCTCTGTGGGTTCTTTAAAAGAAGATATTTTTAGTTTTTACTATATGCATATAGGGAAAATCAATGACCCCCTGGGGTGGGGCCAATTTTGACCCCAGGGCTTTTATTTGAACAAACTTGGTAGACACTCACTAGAAGATGTTTCATGTCAAATATCTAAGCTCTAGCTCTTTGGATTTTTAGAAGAAGTTTTTCCTTTTGGTTGCCATGGCAACCAGTGTTCTGCATGGAATTAAATTCTTTGAACAATTTTTAAAGGTGACCACCAAAGGAACATTCCTGTAAAGTTTGGATGAAATTGGCTCGGTGGTTTATGAGGAGATGTCATTTAAAGTAAAAGTTTACGGACGACGGACGCCAGACAAAAAGCGATCACAAAAGCTCACCCTGTCACTTTGTGACAGGTGAGCTAATAAAAATTTATAGTGAAAACTATTTTACTGCACCGAAACTTTAATCTGAAAACTGGACGTGGACACAGACATCAACGCCAAGTCAAGAGAACAGCTCTTCATACACTTTGTATAGTTGAGCTATAAATGTGAACTCTAGAGTGTAAACGAACAAATGTGGACAGACAACGGATGACGGACATTCAACGATCATAAAAGGAAAATCAATGACCCCCGGGGAGAGGCCAATTTTGACCCAGGTCTTTTTTCTAAAAAACTTTGTAGACACTTTACTTGGAGATATTTCATGCCAAATGTCTATGCTCAAGTTCTTTTGGGTTTTTAAAAGAAGATTTTTTCTAAGCTTTTTCTTTTGTTTGCAATGACAGTTCTACATGGGAATAATATTAAAAGGTGACCACCAAAGGAACATTCATGTGAAGTTTGGATGAAATTGGATAAGCAGTTTATGAACAGTTTACAAGGGGACAGCCGGACGCCGGACAAATTGTATTCACAACAAGAGCACCGCTAGGCTGAGCATTATATGCCCGAAAGTGTTTTTTTTAGTAAGGATGAAGCATTTGTAAGACATGGGAATAAAATAAAGTATTGCCTCCTTAGCAATCCTTTGCCAAATAGCAATCCTCCTATGAAGTTTAAATATTGTGGGCCAAATGGAACTTAAGTTTAGCTCTAGAAGTTGTTTTCAGTTTTGAGGTAATAGCGACCTTGAACTTTGACCTTGTGACCCAAAAATCAATAGGGTCTTCTACCCAATATAGATAATCATCCTATTACGTTAGAACACTGTGGGCCAAATGGAACTTAAGTTATATTCTGGAAACTGTTTTCAGTTTTAAAGTAATAATGACCTTGACCTTTGACCTTGTGACCCAAAAATCAATAGGGGTGTTCTACCCAATATGGACAATCATCCTATGAATTTTGAATATTGTGGGCTTAATAGACCTTAAGTTATGCTCCGAAAACTGTTTTCAGTTTTAAAGTAATAGTTACCTTGACTTTTGACCTTGTGACCCCAAAATCAAAAGGGGTCTTCTACCCAATATGGAAAATCATCCTATGACGTTTGAATATTGTGGGCCAAATGGAACTTAAGTTATGCTCCGGACACAAAATTGTTAACGGACGGAGGGACAGACGGACAGATAGACAGACAGACGGACGTACGCCAGGGGGTATAACGTAATAAGCCCGAAATTCTTTCGGGCATATAAAAAAATGGTGTCACTTTATGACAGGTGAGCTAAAAATAAAGAAAAAGAATAAGATTATCTGCTGTATTAAAATTTTGTTCTATTTTGAAAGCGAACATGTATATCAAGTTTGAAGTGAAAAGGGTTTATAGTATCTGAGAAAATAGACCTTAACAAAAAGTTTAACCAGTGCTGACTTAAAAAAAATAGAGCTAAAAGTATGCAATTATTAGATACAGACAATTAAATTTAACCTACATGTCTCCATCGACTCTTTTAGCCATTGTACAAGTGGTCCACATTTCACAAACGCTTTCAGGCAATTTTCTTTATCTGGTGTCAAACCTTTGAGAAATTCACAGGCTTTCATCACAGTGTTGTTAAAACTTTTCATGTCTTGATCAGTTTCCCCATGCTAAAATAGAAATGATACAATCAACTGATGCAATATACATGTATATATCACAAAAAGGCATTTTGATACATATTAGAGCAGGTGTGGGTATTACCGAACATGCATGTATTGCTGAACACAATATTCTTTTCACCATAACCTTCTTAATATTCCTCTAATAAGGCAGTGACATCATAAACATGATGTCACTTCCTTTCCCGACATATCTGTTATATTTCCATCATGATCCTTGTCGAAGCAAAGACTTTCAAGACTAAAATACTACAACGCTTGAAAAGTATTTACTCTGTTAAAAATAATATAATTTTAGATACCTGATGTCATAAGGTATTATGGTCACGTGATTTCGATAAATCACATGTTTCTTGTTATTTGTGAAGCAAATACATGTATTATGATATGGGAAATAACTCAATATGTCACTTAGATATATATTTACTGAGTTATTTGCATGTTCAGAATTACAAGCATTTAAATTTTGTCATGTGTGAATTACCGAACACAGTGCTTACAATGATTGAAACAACACAGTTATCATTATTATAGCATTATACATTTATTTAAATACAGTTATAGTAGTAATATAAATAATCAGACAGACATAATTTCTTTTAATTTTCTAATGGATGAGCAGGCAGATAGACACAAAACGGCAGCGTTATTCACCATGTAGTTAAACTCTATTAGTTGAATTAAAGAAAAACAAGCAAATTAGTTTAATTTATATCCCTCGCTGAGTACTGGTTATAACTAACACAACAACTGAAGACAACTGAAGGCTTTATCTATATATATTTATCATGGCATAAACAGTAGTATTCTTTGTACATGAAAAATATTTAGGGCAATAAAAGAGCCATAACTATGCGTTAAATAGTTATATCTGAACATGCCAATTAGATGCAAATTGCCTTTTTGTATTGATGGTTCCTATACAGTTTTGTTGAAATCAATACAGCAGTTGCAAAGAAATAACAATATTGCTCTATAATCATACTACATAACAAATCAAGGGCCATAACTCCGTAATGAAGGGTCTGGTCTGAACAAGGCAACACATTATGCACATCTCCTCATGGTATTGACGGTTCCCATAAAGTTTAATTGAATTCCAGCCAGTAGTTGCAGAGAAGTAGCGGGGAAACAATTATTGATCTATGCACACTGCATATCTAATCTAGGGCCATAACTCTGAGTTTAAGTGTCTGATCGAAACAAGGCGAAGATATGTTCATCTCCTCTTGGTATTGAAGGTTCCAATAAAGTTTGTTGAATTCAAGCCAGTAGTTGCATAGAAGTAGCGCGGAAATGATTTATGCTCTATACGCATAATGCACAACTTATCAAGGGCCATAACTCTGAGTTAAAAGGTGTGAATAGAACAAGCTGACAATACCCGCATCTCCTCTTGAAATCATAAAATTTCGTTGAATTCCAGCCAGTAGTTGCAGAGAAATAGCAAGGAAACGATTATTGTTTTATATGTATACTGCATATCTAATCAAGGACCATAACTCTGACATAAAGTGTCTGACCAAAACAAGCCAATGATATGCGCATCTCCTCTTGATATTGAATGTTCGCATAAAGTTTCGTTGAATTCCAGCCAGTAGTTGCAGAGAAATAGCGCGGAAACGATTTTTGCTCTATACTCACAATGCATAACTAATCAAGGGCCATAACTCTAAGTTGAAGAGTCTGACTGGAACAAGGTGATGATATGCGCATCTCCTCTTGATATTGATGAGTCCCATAAAGTTTCGTTGAATTCCAGGCAGTAGTTGCAGAGAACTAGCGCGGAAACAAAATTCGGACAGACATCCTTACATTTGTATTCTTGTTTGGTATTTTACTGGGTAAAAAAGTACCCAACAATACATTAAAATTCATTAAAAATACCCAACAATACATACGGAATTAGTAGTTGATTAATTAGTTAATTGGTAGTTGTTGGGTATTTAGTACCCAACATATACCCTCTCGTGCGCTCAGACGGAAGGACGTATGGACAAGGCCAAAACAATACCCCCCTCCCGATTTCGTCGGCGGGGTATAAAAAAAGTATGGGATTCCAAAGTTCACCCCTCACAATACCGTCCCTTTGAAATACACTGGTCATAAGTGGGACAGTTCTAACTTAGTCTGAGGAAAGACGTATTGTTGAATTGGTCATGCACATTTCACATATCGGCCATGGACGATCCAGATAAGATCTTGCACACACTTGAACTTGAAAAAACTTGGTGAATGTCGCTGAACGGTTTTTTCGTGAAAACGAACCCAGTAGATCTTGGCTGGAGGGTTACTTTTGCGGCAACCCTGAACTGACCCTTAGAGCAACCATTCAGCTTGTAAAAAGAGAGAGTGATTGTTTCCCCAGAAAAGTTTAAAAGATGTGTTTTCTGAATTCAAACACTACCTTGAGGAGGAGTTAAACTATATTTCAGATTACCTGAGTATCTGATAAGTACATAAATGTGGATGGAATTCATTTGGAGTACAAATATTGTTAAGATCTTACGGTCGGCTGTTGTTGAATAACTACTAATTTGTCTTTTAATATTTATAAATATGAACATGTAATACATTGTTCAAAAGTGAATACTTGTAAAATAAATATTGCTTACATCAATAATGAAATGATATTGTTATAAATCTATCTATATTTCAGGTGAAGATTAACATTTTTTTAAAAAGTTGGCAGTTTTTGGAAATACACGCACGTGTGTTCGATGTTACACACATATGACTGGTACAGCAAGCAGTCAGGTCTAATATATAAAATGTCATAACCCTTTAGATAATGCGTGTAGATAAGTGTTTCTTGCATGTTTATGTAAAATAAATCTAATATTTGTCAAATGTCAATTGCAAATTGCGAGTACTGCGTGTATAACCGAATACTACGTATTTCACCTTAAGTGTTCGGTAATACCTACACCCGCTCTACACAGAACATAAGACTTCACTCATAACAGGTAGAGCTTGATGGGAAACAATTTTATCAAGTTGTTAGCCTAGTACATATTTGTGAGATCAACTTGACTATAAAACTCAATGTCTGTGATCGACTATCATTGGGAAATGTAGCCTTGCTCCAGGGTTGGACAACAGACCCCCTTACTATCTTACTTACTATCATCATGATAAAAGTTTTAATGTGTTCCAAAACAACAACAGTCTTAAACTCCTAATGACCTTAACAATGATATACTGTTCTCCAAAACATGAGGGCCTTGGAGCCCTTACCTAAAATACATTTCTAAAAATGTAACAAATCCTCATGCAACTAATATTATTAAGCAATTGGCTAAAATAAGATTGTCATCTTTAACAAAAACATTTGTAGTTGTCTGCTTGAAATAACTAAATGAGAAATATCACAGCTCTAGGCATTGTTGTAATAAGGAGCATTAAATAAACAGCAGGTGTCAAGTGCCATGTGGCAGCTATAAAAAATTTCACAGTATTTCACATTAGTTTTGAAGTATGAATACCAATGTAGCCAATGCTAGGGGTTGTAAGGGATAACAAACTTTTAAAGACCCCTTATAATTTATAGACTTAAACAAACCATGTTTTTCATATAATATTGTTGCTTTAAATGTATCACCCATTTCAAAACAAGAAGGTGTTTTTTATACAAAACAAGAGCCGGTTGAACCGGGTGATGCTCCCCGAATAGGTTTTGGACACAGAAAAGTGTATCTTTTGTAGTTTCAGAGTTATGTCCCAGATCTTATTATCAGATCATATATATCTTCAAAGTGTGATAATTCCAAACATAGGCAAGGCAGAGTTACTGTTCTTTGCACTGCACTTCTACTCAATGGGACACATCGTCTCAATATGTTGATCATTTCTGTAAAATAGTTATAAAATCCGACTTCAAATAACAAAGTTATCGGCCGGACATGATTTTGCTGCAAGGTCATGCTGTTCTTTGCAATGCACTTCTACTCAATGGGACACATCGTCTCAATATGTTGATCATTTCTGTAAAATAGTTATAAAATCCGACTTCAAATAACAAAGTTATCGGCCGGACATGATTTTGCTGCAAGGTCATGCTGTGACCTTGACCTTCAAGGTAGTGACCCAAATGTTGCAAGCGACGCTTCATCTCAATATGGTGATCATTTCTGTGAAATAGTTGTAAAATCCGACTTCAAATAACGAAGTTATGGGCCAGACACGATTTTGCTGCAAGGTCATGCTGTCACCTTGACCTTCAAGGTAGCGACCAAAATGTTGTACGCGACACGTCGTCTCAATATGGTGATCATTTCTGTGAAATAGTTCTAAAATCCGACTTCAAATAACGAAGGTATGGGCCAGACACGATTTAGCTGCATGGTCATGCTGTCACCTTGACCTTCAAGGTAGCGACCCAAATGTTGCACGCGACACGCAGTCTCAATATGGTTATCATTTCTGTGAAATAGTTGTAAAATCCGATTTCAAATAACAAAGTTATGGGCCGAACACGATTTTGCTGCAAGGTAGTGCTGTGACCTTGACCTTCAAGGTAGTGACCCAAATGATGCACGAGACATGTCGTCTCAATATGGTGATCATGTCTGTGAAATAGTTGTAAAAGCCGACTTCAAATAACGAAGTTATGGGCTGGACACGATTTTGCTGCAAGGTCATGCTGTCACCTTGACCTTCAAGGCAGCAACCTAAATGTTACGTGCGATCCGTCGTCTCAATATGGTGATCATTTCTGTGAAATAATTGTAAACTCCGACTTCAAATAACGAAGATATGCGCTGGACACGAATTTGCTGCAAGGTCATGCTGTGACCTTGTTCTTCAAGGTAGCGACGCAAATGTTGCGTGCGACACGTCGTCTCAATATGGTGATCATTTCTGTGAAATAGTTGTAAAATCCGACTTCAAATAACAAAGTTATGGGCCGGACACGATTTTGCTGCAAGGTCATGCTGTCACCTTGACCTTCAAGGTAGCGACCCAAATGTTGCACGCGACACGCAGTCTCAATATGGTTATCATTTCTGTGAAATAGTTGTAAAATCCGACTTCAAATAACAAAGTTATGGGCCTAACACGATTTTGCTGCAAGGTCATGCTGTCACCTTGACCTTCAAGGTAGTGACCCAAATGTTGCCTGAGACACGTCGTCTCAATATGGTGATCATGTCTGTGAAATAATTTTAATCTCCGACTTCAAATAACAAAGTTATGGGCCAGACACGAATTTGCTGCAAGGTCATGCTGTGACATTGACCTTCAAGGTAGCGACCAAAACGTTGCGTGCGACACGTCGTCTCAATATGGTTATCATTTCTGTGAAATAGTTGTAAAATCCGACTTCAAATAACGAAGGTATGGACCAAACACGATTTTGCTGCAAGGTCATGCTATCACCTTGACCTTCAAGGTAGCGACCCAAATGTTGCACGCGACACGCAGTCTCAATATGGTTATCATTTCTGTGAAATAGTTGTAAAATCCGACTTCAAATAACAAAGTTATGGGCCGAACACGATTTTGCTGCAAGGTCATGCTGTCACCTTGACCTTCAAGGTAGTGACCCAAATGTTGCACGAGACACGTCGTCTCAATATGGTTATCATGACTGTGAAATAGTTGTAAAATCCGACTTCAAATAACGAAGATATGGGCTGGACACGATTTTGCTGCAAGGTCATGCTGTCACCTTGACCTTCAAGGTAGCAACGTAAATGTTACGTGCGATCCGTCGTCTCAATATGGTGATCACGTCTGTGAAATAATTGTAAACTCCAACTTCAACTAACTAAGATATGCGCTGGACACAAATTTGCTGCAAGGTCATGCTGTGACCTTGACCTTCAAGGTAGCGACGCAAATGTTGCGTGCGACCCGTCGTCTCAATATGGTTATCATTTCTGTGAAATAGTTGTAAAATCCGACTTCAAATAAAAAAGTTATGGACCGGACACGAATTCGGGACGTAAGTATGTACGTTCAGAAGTACGTACGTACAGACGGACGGACAGACAGACAACCATGCGACTATATGCTCCACCGAAATTTTGCTGAGAGCATAAAAATGTCTCCCCTGTATGATATCTAAGGATGAAACAGCGACACAGTTCGACCAATGAAAACCTGGAAACCTGGGACAGGCATTATGTGATTGTTGACCTTGGGTCTTCTTTTGAACTTTTGTACAGGTGTAAACAAACCCTAATCCCATAATGACTATCCTCTAAGATTGGACAGATGGGCCCGAAAGTACAAGTTTTTTATCGAATGAACACAGAATATATCCCATAATGTTACTATGGACAGACATGCAAGCAAATTTAAAGTCATTTATATTATTTTCTTTTGCTTAAAAGAGGTTCATTGGCCCTTCCTTTGTTGTTACGGAAAGAGCTCTGTTTTTCTTTTTTTCTTCTTTTTAGTTATATGGCCCCTATCAATTTTCGGTATTGTGAAGGAGGCAAAAACAAAATGTCTAGCCATATATTACACCATATTAATAAAGTTTCTTCAGGGGCAAGGACATCTTTTTTATTCATATGGGGCATTACTTATATAACTGTTGTAAAGACACGAGGTGATGCTTTGTGCTCTAGGCACTGTATGAAAATAAAATTTAAAACAAATTAAAGTCCGTTTTTACCTACTCATGAATCAGACTGGTACTATGTATAAAAGTTTTGTAGAGGGCCACCTAAGAATCATTCATGTGAAATTTGGTCAAAATTTACCATGTGGTTATGGAGATGTTTTGTTCGGAAATTGTGTGTAATAATTTCATTATAACGACAAATGTTGACAGACGGACAGACTACCATTTTCTAGCACTTCATACTCTGATAAGATAAAACAACACTTAGCTAATCATGTTTACCATGACCTAGGACTACACTGTTACCCAAAATAAAGAAGTTCTCATTTAGTCCCCCATGAAATTTATATACTGTATCCAAAGATAATTAGAAAATTTCAGTTAACTTACTGTTGCAATAACTCTGATCTGTGAGAAATCACCCTTCAAATTGTATTCTTTAGCAAATTTTAGTATTGTCTTTGCTCCCTTTACACATGTTTCTAATTGTCTGTACTTTCTAAGCTGGTCAATACGCTTATCTATAATGTTGTCTAAAATACTCATCGTTCTTAACTCAGCTTTCATCTGGTCATAATTATCTCTATACTTCTGGCTGACCAGCTTCTCAAAGTCTTGAAACTTAATATTACCAGACTTTATCTTGTTTGTTATTGTGTCCCATCTGTAATTATATATCACAAAATTGCTTATCTTTAAGAAATAAATGGACATGGAAAATCAATTATTTGCTGCATAATTCCTCTTTTGCATTAATTTAAATTCAATTTTTATTTGTTTGCAAACTATACATTTAATTCAAAACTTGCTAGGGACGTGAGTGATGTTGCAATTTTTCATTATCAGTCATGTGCACACTCTGCCAAACCGAGTCTGCATATTTTTATGAAATTTTGTTAAGATATAGGCATCCAAAGGATCACTCTTTCTCAAGAAATTTGGTAAATCAAACCAATTATTTAGCAGTAATGAACAAATAAAAACAGTGTATTATCATATAGCATCCTGACACAATGATACCAAAATTTAAACTCACTGGTTTTTCACAATATTCCAAACATTCTGCACAACATCATCCAGCGTAGAGCATTGGTTAAACACTTCTTTACACTGTGCATTCCAAAGCATCATGAATGTATTACTGGTATAGCAAGCATGTAGTTGTGGTACCACATCTAGTACAAGAGGAGACAACTTGAATGCACACAGTCTGGGCTGGTATGTATCTACAACGTCTACTTTAGTTATATCAGCTGGTACACAGAATTCTCTGATTTGATGTATCTCTAAATCCTCCTGTTTCTTCAGTGTATCATCAATACTTGATGTGTCAACTAGCAAACATATTCAATATTAGTTATTAGAGAGATTACAATTGTTACTCATATAATACAGCAAGTGAAAAAAACACAATGAAAATAATTAATTCATTTAAAAGGACAAAGTTTAACTAGTTTACCATGTTCTTACATGGTTATAATTATAATTTTAGCTTCAAACACATTTATGTTCTTTAATACAAGATTGAAAGACAATACTGATTGTATAGCCTGATCTGTTTTCTAAACAAGGGGGGCACTGGCTCCAAAGCACTCACCTGAGAACATATTGTAAGGGCCACTTTTAACAATAAGGACAAAATACCGAACAACTATGGTAGAGGACCTATATATGATTTAATATACCAAATATTTAGCTAAGCTCAAGCACAGAACCTTCAGACAAGAAGTTTTCAAAGTTTTTATCATATACATTTTAGGAAAACCTATGACCCCTGGACGCGGCCAATTGGACCCCAAGGCTATAACTGCAACGATCTCGGTAGAGTTCCACATAACAATGCTGCATGCCAAATACCTAACCTTTGGCTTTTGTCAATTCAGAGTACAAGTGTTTTTCAGTAGTTGATGAGAAGAAGATGTTTGCATAAAAAGTTGATGCACTGATGGACATCGGAAAAAATGTGATCACAAAAGCTAAAAAACTAACCGTTGGCCAAATGTGTACAAACAGATGCAAAAATTGCCATTTGTTGAGCTTCATGCTGGTAGGCTTCTAATTCCCTCTCTCTGATCTCAATGGCTTTTCTAATAAAGGCTGCTGTATGTTCTGTCTTTGTTTTCACTAACTCTGCCAACTCTGGAAATTTGCCTTCCTTTTCTTTTATCAAGCTTAGCTCACCAATAACTATTGCACCTGTCAATAAAGCTGTCAGTCTGCTGTCAATTACAGAGACAGCTTGGGTCAAACGCTGGCTACATTCAACTGTCAGCATTTCCAATTTTTTCTCGTCTTTATCTAAAATGCAAAAATTAAGTAAATAATTAAGAATACCATTTGTTGGTTCATTTGTTTTATGTCAATTTCAACGTTTTTGGTCAAATCTCGGTGGTTCATCTTCTTACTATATAACAAACTGATAATTGCTAAGTTCTACTCAAGCGAATGACTACTTATCCAACATGATTTCTCAATCAAATGATTATTAGAAACAAGCAATTGGTTTATACAGAATTTATTTAAAGTTTGATTGTTAAGGAAGCTATTCGCTTATAAACACACTTTCGAATCCAATTCCTCGAACAAACCAGTACTAAGCAATGGGTGTAAAGTTTCTTGCTCATGGAAACAACGACATGCCCCTGTCAGGGTTTGAACCCATGCCGCTTGCGATCATTAGATTACTAGTTTGAAGCGTTAACCACTCGGTCATGTAGCCACAAGCAATTTAAATAGTACTGCGGGCAATCCATCAGTCCCCTACCAGTTCGAACTCCAACAACATTCTTAGGGTCCATTGGAATACAACAGATAATCAAAAGATCTAATTTTCTCAGGATGAATATGTATAACTAATGTTTCAACTTATCTTTATTTTCAGTAAATTTGTTAAAAAAGTTCCAAGTCCTTTAAAAGTGATCTCAGGAAACAGTTTCTAGAAAAGACAGATTGATTGATACTCTGAGAGTAAATCTTTAAATGTTCCTGGTTGTAATCAGATTGAGAATAAAACATTAAAATATAAGAAAATTCTTAAACTAAAGCGGAGATAACTCTTGAAAGAAGAGCCCGGTTTGAACCGGGTCATGCTCCCGGAATAGCTATTTGACACAGAAAAGTACATCTTTTGTAGTTGCAGAGTTATGTCCCTGGACAAAGTTCAAAGTGCAATAATTCCAGAATCAGGCAAGGGCAAGTGCTGGACTTCTAATAAATGAGATCTACCTACAAAGTTTCATGTTGATACGTGTTATGGTTTCCGAGTTATGTGCCTGACAAAGTTTAAAATGTAAAGATGAACAAAGGATAATAACTCCAAAACAAGGCAAGGCAGAGTTAAGTTTCTTGTGCACTGCGCATCTACCTATTGAAATCTATCTTCCTACAAAGTTTCATGTTGAAATCTCTTATAATTATAGAGTTATGTGACGAACAAGATTTTTCTTAAAGAGATCATTCAACTACAGGGCTAACCAGAGTTCTGGTTCTTTTGCAATGCACTTCTACCCAATGAGATATATCGACCTACAAAGTTTCATGTTGATTTCTCTGATAATTGTAGAGTAATATCCCAGACAAAGTTCAAAGTGTAAAAATAATTAAAGGGCAATCACTCCAAAATTTGGCAAAGCAAGGTTACAGTTCTTTACACTGCACATCTACTGAATGAGATCTATCTACCTACAAAATTTCATGTTGATATCTCTTATAATAATCGAGTTATGTCTCGGACAATATTTTTCTAAAAGGGGAGATAATTCAAAAACGGGGCTAACCAGAGTTATGGTTCTTTTGAAATGCACTTCTACCCAATGAGATCTATCTACCTACAAAGTTTCATGTTGATATCTCTTATAATTTTAGAGTTATGTTCTGGACAAAGTTCAAAGTGTAAAAATGAACAAAGGGCAATAACTCCAAAATTAGGTATGGCAGAGTTACGGTTCTTGTGCACTGCACAGCTACCCATTGAGATCTATCTACCTACAAAGTTTCATGTTGAAATCTCTTATAGTTAAAATGTTATGTCCTGAACAAGATTTTTCTAAAAGGGAAGATTATTCAACAAAAAGGCCATGATGACCCTGAAATCGCTCACCTGTATATTGGCCCCTGGGCCAAGGTCAATTTTAAACCAGGGGCTTTCATTTGAACAAACTTGGAAGACCCCCATTAGAAGATGTTTCTTGACTAATATCTAAGCTCTAGCTCTTTGGGGTCTTTATAAAAAGATTTTTCAAGTTTTTGCTATATACATAGGGGGGAAAGCAATGACCCACCCCTGGGAGGGGCCAATTTTGACCCCAGGGCTTTTATTTGAACAAACTTGGTAGACACTCACTGGAAGATACTTAATGCTTAGTATCTAAACTCTAGCTCTTTGGGTTTTTTATAAGAAGATTTTTTACGTTTTTACTATATACATATAAAAGGTAAATCAATGACCCTATGGCCTTTCATTTGAACAAACTTTGTAGACACTCATCACACAATGTTTCATGCCAAACATTTAAGCTCTAGCTCTTTTGTTTTTTAAAAGAAGATTTTTTACGTTTTTACTATATACATATAAAAGGTAAATCAATGACCCTATGGCCTTTCATTTGAACAAACTTTGTAGACACTCATCACACAATGTTTCATGCCAAATATTTAAGCTCTAGCTCTTTTGTTTTTTAAAAGAAGATTTTTTTAAGTTTTAACTTTATGCATATAGGGGAAAATCAATGATCCTTGGGGCGGGGCCAAAATTTCTACATAGTATATAGTGAAAAAATCAACAAAGGGCCATAATTCTGTTAAATTTGGTCGCAGCAAAAATTCCTTCCTTTACTACCATCTACACATTAAGGTTGTTCATCCCTGGAAGTATAGGCAAAATCGCCATCCGGTTTAAGAGGAGTTGCGTTCACAAGATGTCGGGACGTACGGACAGACGTACGGACGGACGTTCCAACATTTTGGGTTTAGGGGCTATTTTCTTTGTTATTTTCTTTGTTTTCTTAAGGGCTACTAGCCCATAAACCCTTTGATCACGGAATGAACCTATTGTTCTCTTTTGTTCTCTTTTCTGTTATATAGCCCCTAAACCCAAAATTTTTGCTCGGACAGACGTACGCACGGACAGACATACGGACGGACGGAGGACAAGTGAAACGCCATATGCTCCCCGCTTTGTAGGGGCATAAAAAGAAAGAAAACAAACATTTTACCTGGCTAAGAATTGAACTGTCGACCTTGATCCCAAGGGGTGGAGCTAATTTTTACCCTTGGGTTTTATTTAAACAAAAATCTTCTTTAAGTAACAGTGACCTTGACCTTGATGACAGACGCCTGTGTAGCAATCCCAAGCTGCCTCTTGATATAAACTATCCATACACCAAGTTTGGTGTCAAAAGGCCAAAGCAAACACAAGTTATTGAGCGGAAACTGAATTTCTTTTTTCAGTAACAGTGACCTTGACCTCAATCACAGACACCTGGGTAGCAATCCCAAGCTGCTTCTTGATATAAGCTATCTTTACACCAAGTTTGGTGTCAAAAGGCCAAAGCAAACTCCAAGTTATTGGGCGGAAACTAAACTTCTATTTTCAGTATCAGTGACCTTGACCTTGATCACAGACACCTGTGTAGCAATCCCAAGCTACCACTTGATATAAGCTATCCATACACCAGGTTTGGTGTCAATAGACCAAAGCAAACACAAGTTATTGAGCGGAAACTGAATTTCAATTTTTAGTTACAGTGACCTTTATCACATACACCTGGGTAGCAATCCTATGCTGCCTCTTGATATAACCTACCTACATATCAAGTTTGGTGTCAACAGGCCAAAGCAAACTCAAGTTATTGAGCCGAAACCAAAGATCGCCGCCCCCCTGCCGCCGACTTAGGCATTACAATAACCCAGTTTCCGTAAACCTGGTTAATACAAGAAACATCGATGACCCCTGGGGCCGGGCCAATTTTGACCCTAGGGCTTTTATTTGAACAAAGTTGGCAGAAATCTATTAAGAGATGTTTTATGCAAAATATCTAAGCTCTAGCTTTTCTGGATTTTCACAAAAAGATTTGTTTAAGTTTCTACTATATACAAATATATAAGGAAAATCAATGACCCCCTGGGGTGGGGCCAATTTGACCCTAGGGCTTTTATTTGAACAAACTTGGTAGACATCCACTTGAAGATGTTTCGTGCCAAATATCTAAGCTCTATCTCTTTTAGATTTTCACAAGAGGATTTTTTAAGATTTTACAATAAACATAAAAGGAAAATCGATGATCCTAGGGCTGCGCTAATTTTGACCCTAGGGCTTTTATTTGAACAAAGTTGGTAGACATTTACTAGAAGATGTTTCATGCCAAATATCTAATCTATAGTGCATTTGAATTGTCACAAAAAGGTGTTTTAAGTTTTTACTATATACAGACATGTATAAGGAAAATCAATGACCCCCTGGGTCGGGGTCATTTTTGACCCTAGGGGTTTTATTTCAACATATAATTAAGAAGGTTGAGTAAAAATAATTTCTAGAAAAAAATAAGTTCAAGGGAGACATGATTGTTGAAATAGTCAAGCTAGAGTATTGAATCTTCTGACAAATAATTTGAGTGATAACAATAAACATATATGTGGTTTGAAGTAAATACATTAAGTATAAGTGTGAGTTATAAAACAAAAACATGCATGAAAGTTTAAAGGGGTTATTCTGATAATTTTTTTGCCATAGTTGTAATCCTTGTCTAACATGATGTGGTTGATGATCAGAAACATATATTTGAGGTAAATGCCTTAAGAAACAAGCAATTATCATAGTATTGCAAGCAATTATTCATAAGTTGCCTACCGGTTAGAACCCCAGCAACATTCTAAAGGGCCACTGGCCATTCACTTATGTCTCTATTTTAAGTAGATTTGTTATAAAAGTTCTTTAAAAGTGATCACAGGAAACAGTTTTATGTACAGACAGACAGACTGAAAGACACTCTAAAGTTATTTTTTTAAACATCCCTGTTATCAAAATATAACATTTTTAAAAGCAAAATTCTTAAAAAGGAGGTATATCTTGAAATAAAGATGCAAGACGTCATACACGATGTGAGTGTAACAAAGAACAATTAGTAATGAAGGTGTTGATAATGAATGTTTATTTTGAATTTGAAGTAATTTAAGAAAGTTAAAAAAAAATCAATATTTTTTTTTCATAAAAATTCTAAGTTCAAGGGAGGAAATTCTGATAAATTTTGTGCTAGAGTTGTAAACAGACGGATGGAGGGTAAACCTAAAGTCCCCTCCGGTAAACCGGTAGGGGACTAATAAAGAACTTAAATCGTGAAAAAGCGTAAATACGTGAATCAGAGATCTTGACTAGGTTGCCGAAGCTTGGTGAGCAGGACAACTCTGAATAAAGTCAAGATTAAAATGATTAATAATTTCCATACTGCCATCTAACAATATATTTTAAATTTCATAAAACTGTTTCAGCACTTTTTGAGAAAATCACAAATATTATTATATTTGCCATATTTTAAGCATATTTGTTGCCACAGCAACCAATTATTCAACATAGGAAGACAAGAAAAAGTGCATAATAAATCTCCTTTTTGCATTATCACTGGATCCAGTTAATGTGGTAAATTTGCCATATTTTCAGTCTATTTGCTGCCATAACAACAACAGCTCCCAACATAGGAAGTAAAGAAAATATGTGCATAATATCCAGACTGCCATCTTACCATATATCAAGTTTCATAAGAGTATTTTTAGTACTTTTTGCGTTATCACGGGAACAATTTTTGTGGACGGACTAATGGACGGATAGGCGGACGGACTGACGGATGGTAAACCTTAAACCCGCTACGGTCATCCCGTTAAGGGACAAAATACGCCCTCTGATTGAACCAACAACCCCACAAATACTAATCTGATGCTCTCCTTATTGAGCTAAGTGGACAGACCTAGTATTTTATAAGATAATGAAAATCATTTCAGACATATTCTTTTATTCACAGTTTAACCATATATCACATAACTTAAACAAGAGGGCCATGATGGCCCTAGATCGCTCACCTGACCCCTCAAACTCATCCGAACCATTACCTAGACAAGCATTCTGACCAAGTTTCATGACAGGTGAGTCAAAAATGTGCCCACTAGAGTGATTATCCATATTTGAGCAGTGTGACCTAGTTTTTTACCCAGGTAACCCATATTTGAATGTGACCTAGAAATCATCAAAACAAACTTTCAGACCAATTTCCAGGATACTTGGATCAAAACAGTTGCCATTAGAGTGTTAACAAGATTTTTCTAATTTTAGCTCCGGTGACCCAGTTTTTCATGCAAGATGACCAATGTTCGTCCTCATCCGAGCAATTCCCTAGACAGGCATTCTGACCAAGTTTGGTGATAATTGAGTCAAAAATGTGACCACTAGAGTGTTAACAAGGTTTTTTTTTCATATTTGGGCGGTGTGACCTAGTTTTTCATCCGAGATGACGCATGTTCGAACTCATTCGAGCAATTAATTACCTAGACAAGCATCCTGACCAAGTTTGATGACAATTGAGTCAAAAATGTGACCACTAGAATGTCAACAAGGTTTTTTCTATTTTTAACTCCTGTGACCTAGTCTTTCGTCCAAGATGACCCATATTCGAACTCATCAGAGCTATCTTCTAGACAAGCATCCTGACCAAGTTTAATGATGATTGAGGCAAAAATGTGACGGCTAGAGTGTTAACAAGGTTTTTCTATATTTAGCTCCTGTGACATAGTTTTTCATCCGAGATAAACCATGTTCGAACTCATTTGAGCTATCACCAAGACAAGCATCCTGACCAAGTTTGATGATGAATTCCCCCTTAAGAGAAAAGTTTAATAAAACATAAAATATAACAATCCTTTAAAATATGAAAGTTGCATTCTTACAGTCTGTTTAGTACTTTGATAATAGTAATAATGGCAGTTTATATACCAAATTTACAAGCTTTCCCAAAAAGTTTTAGAAATTATAATACCATATGAATTACAAAGTGAAGTTACTTACAATATATTTTCAGATACTGTAATAATGGAGGCCATCTCAGAAGATGTCGTAACATTGACAGTTCTTCTCCATATCCTGTCTTCACATTTTTGTCCCATTCTGATATGAACATATGGGAAAGCAGACTTCCAAATCGCATATATTCATGATGTAAAAAGCGTCCATAATCAACAGTATACCCTTTAGCAATAGCCTGCAAAATAGCAAATAGTTTAATTAATAAAATAATTCATATACTAAATCATTCCGTTCCTAATGTTTATTCAATTGAAAGAAATTGTCAGTTGGGGATTTTAAAAATGAAAAAGTTACATAAAAAACCGAGTGTGTTTGCCAAAAAAAATTCAAATTTATCTAACTCCCAAAATAGTACTTGCATCTGTTTTAAAGGTACTAAAAACAAGAACACCACATGCAATGTTGAATTTTATCTGTTAAAATAACCACTTTTGACAAAAATTGTTAGTTAAAAATGGACATAATTCCAAACACATAGCTTTCAGAAGTATGTCCCTTGTCTAAAGACTGCCTCTTGTCATGATAAGTGTAAGTATTCCCAACATCATATTAACACAAATTGTTTGAGTAATGGTCCGAATTAAAATTGTGCATGACAACGACTATGAAAATGATGACAATGAAACGACAATAACTCTGCAACAATCATAATAACTTGATTTGTGCTTAGAACAGACAAGATAAAAATAATCAGGATGAGGACATGACAAATTAATTCCTGAATAGCCTGTTCAAACTTATTTTTTGAGGGTGTAGAATTATTACTTAACCAGAATGTTGTGAACGTTCTTCAAACAGTTCAATATCAAATGAGACGAAATTGCTGGCTTGAAATCTGATCTTCAAAGACCCTGACCTTAAAGTTGAATGCCTGAAATATGTTTAATGCACATGATTTCAATGACATTCCTGCTGAGAATCTGACTATTACTAATGCTGTTCTTTAAGCTGACACTTAATTGCTAACAGAAAACAGACATATAACCAAAGAGAATTTACTCACCAGAAAGGCAGCTTTACTCATACAGTCTTGCATTGATGGGTTGTACTCATCTACCTTTTGACAGTAAAGCTCAACAAAGTCCTGCATGAACTTATTCACTGTGCAAACCTTAAAACAATTTTTAAAAGGAAATGTAATATCACTATAAAAGTCAAAAAACCTTTTTCAAGTCATATGGAAGAAGTCATACCTGAGTCAAAATGGATGAAAAAAATTATTCACAGGTCTACTTTATATTTGAATGTCATTCCAATTTAAAAAATATCAATAATTTTAAAATGAAATCAATTATGCTTTTAAATAGAATTGATTGATTACAACAAATGCAACATTGATGAACATTATTTTTTTGTAAGTTGAAGATGCAACATAAATATCTTATTTGCAAAATATGCTGGTTAAACATTGTCAGGTGCAAAAATAACATGTATATAATAGATCTCTTAATGATCCTTGATAGTACAATGAGATCACTGATTTAAAATCTTACTTCTTCCCGGCAGAAATAAGTCAATGTGTAACATTTGCACTGGGTGGGGTTTTTTGTTGTTTTTTTTACTTCTGCATAATGATTCATAGACCTTTGTATATGTCCACTAAGAAATGCAATGCAAATGCACTGTTTTCAAGCGTACTTCACTTCAGTATTGTTATCTTTTTGTTTTCCTTAGGGATCTTTGATACCATAAATTTAATTTTGAAAATGAAGTAGCCTTAAGCCAGTCAAGGGGGCGTGAAAGATGTTGCACTTTTTCATTACCCCTCATGTTCAGACTCAATCAAACTGAGTTTTCTTTCTTTTCGTTTCTTATCTATACTATTCATCTTTTTGCAACTTCATTTAAGTCAATTTGATAACTTCCCATTATATTCGATAATTTTTTTGTTTGTTTGTTTCATTTTACGCCTTTTCCCAACAGTTTTTCAGTCATATAGGCGGGTAGTTTCCTAACCATCGTTCCTGGAGAATTACACAAGTACTAGACTACCTTCCTCTGCGCTAAACTACCAAAGCATCTCCCGGGGATCAAACCCACGCCAGAGAGGTAACTGGATTAGAAGTCATCGACTCTAACCCCTCGACCACGGAGGCGGTTATATTCGATAACAAATTTTCATTAACCCATTACACGATACACATGCCTTTTATCGCCTTTTTCAACCCCCCCCCCCCTCTTTTTGTTGTCTAAAATGGTGAAAAATGCCTTATTTAGGCACCCAACACTTGTTTTTTTTAGAAATCTTGTTTAAAAAAGTGACCATTTTTTTCGGCGCGCCACCTGATCCAAAAGATACATCAGGGGGTTGCCAGAAGGGTGGGGGCGGTAGTCCCCCTCATCGCCAAGAAAATTTTGGACTTGTGAGAGGCTAAAAATGACCCCAGATCGATCATAAGGCAACGTTTAACAAACGCTGAAAAACCTTTGACTCTACCTCATTCCATTGAGAAATTGCAGCACTTTGAAATCAATTTTGATGGAAAAAATCAACGCAAAATAGTGATTTTTGGGCAATTTTGAGATGTCCCCTTGTTGCCATGGTAAAAGAAAATTTAAGACTGAGCACTTTGTTACAAAGTCAATGGTCCAAATAACATTTGTGCCAAGTTTGATTAGTATTGAAGCAGTTTTTATAGTTTTATAGCAATTTGAACTTTGAGACTTTTCAATGAAAACAGCCATTTTTCACAAAATGCTCATGAAGTAATGGGTTAATGGACAATGTGCATTGTAAAGAAATATGAATGTGTATTATGGTTGTGAAACAAGACAAAAATAACAACAAAGATCAACAATGCAAAGCAACATTCAGAGAATGCAACCTATCAGAATAACATGTTAATGTTCTCATTATATCTAATAAAATATTTTATAAAATACATGAAAAGGGAAAAAAAGATCATTATTTTACTTTTAAGTCTTTAAATAGTTGTGAAAAAGAATTTTATTTAACACATGAATATTTGTGTAAACAGAGGAAACACTATTTTCAAATAGAATTTAAAAGTTTAACTATGATGTTGTGCATAAAAGTAACATTTGCAGAGGACCAAAATGTGATGAAAGTATATATGCCTGGAAAGATTAACATTAGCTATGCCTGTATACTGCCCTAGCTAACATATTACAATTCTAATTTACCTTGTTCTGTAGCTTTTGTAAAAGTCTCTCAAAAATCATGGAATTCCATGTGTTTCTTATATCTTCAGACTGTAAGACCACTGGGGCAAAAATGTTGTTCCAAACCTAAAAAGTATTGAGATACACCATTAATAACAACAAGATCTACTGCCAGGCGGGGCAGTGCTCGTCTTTTTTACTTTTTTCTAACATCAAATAAAAAGCGTTTTAAATCAAAGATCAAAGTCAGTTCAACCCTTTAGATTGACTTGTCCAAAGGTTGCTTTGCTCAAGTATAAAGATAATCCATTGCTTAATTACCAAGTTACATCCGATTATAACTAGAACTATCACTAAATGTGATAAATGTCTTGTATGTTGCATTTCCTTTCAATAAGGTTTGCCATTGATGAAATTTTATTGATTTACTCTGTAATAAGTCCAGAAAGGCAAGGAAAAGGAACAAAGGGCAATAACTCTATAAATACTGAAGATGGAGTTATGGTTATTGTACACTGCACTTCCTCTCATTGTGCTTGACCATTGTATGAAGTTGTATTGAATTCCAACTACCAGTTTTCAAGTTATGGACTGGACAAAAAAGTAACAAAGGGCAATAACTGTAATTAGTTCAAATAGAGTTATGGTTCTTGTGCACTGCACTTCATCTCACTGCCCTTGCTCATTGTATAAAGTTTTATTGAATTCCAACCATGAATTTTCAAGTTATGCACTGGACAATAAAAAGTAACATAGGGCAAAAACATTTTAAGAAGTCAAGAAAAGAGTTATAGTTTCTGTGCACTGCGCTTCCTCTCAATATACTTGACCATTGTATGAAATAGTATTGAATTCCAACTAGCAGTTTTGCTCTGGACAAGAAAAAAGTAATGGAAAAGTAACAAAGGGCAAGAACTCTATAATTACACTGGACAGAGTTATTGTTCTTATGCACTGCACTTCCTCTTATTGTGCTTGACCATATGAAGTTGTTTTAAATTCCAACCAGTATGTTTTAAGTTATGCTCCGACAAGGATAAGTATCAAAGGGCAGTAACTCTGTAATTTGTCAAAATGGAGTTATGGTTCTTGTGCACTGCACTTCCTCTTAATGTGCTTGACAACTGTATGAAGTTGTATTGAATTCCAACAAGTAGTGTTCAAGTTATGCTCCGGACAAGGAAAGTAACAAAGGGCAATCACTCTGTAATTAGTCAAGATGGAGTTATGGTTCGTATGCACTGCACTTCCTCTCTCTGTGCTAAACCATTGTATGAAGTTATATTGAATTCCAACCATTAGTCTTCAAGGAATGCACCGGACAAAAAAGCAATGGAAAAGTAACAAAGGGCAATAACTTTATAATTAGTCAAGATAGAGTTATGGTTCTTGTGCACTGCATTTTCCCTTATTATGCTTGACCATTGAATGAAATTGTTTTGAATTCCAACCAGTAGTTTTCAAGTTATGCTCCGGACAAGGAAATGTAACAAAGGGCAGTAACTCTGTAATAAGTCAAGATGGAGTTATGTTTCTTGTGCACTGCACTTCCTCTTAATGTGCTTGACCATTGTATGAAGTTATATTGAATTCCAACTATTAGTCTTCAAGTTATGGTCCGGACAAAAAAAAGCAATGGAAAAGTAACAAAGGCCAATTACTCTGTAATTACTTTAGATAGAGTTATGGTTCTTGTGCACTGCACTGCCCTTTATTGTGCTTGACAATTGTATGAAGTTATATTGAATTCCAATCATTAGTCTTCAAGTTATGCTTTGGACAAGGAAAATGCAACGGACCGCTGGACCGACCGACCGACCAACCAGCCGACTGACCGACCAACGGGTGACTCCTATATACCCCCCCCCCCCCAACTTCGTTTCGGGGATATAATAATAATCAGTGAAAATTTAATAATTTGACCTTAACGTTCAAGGTCAATTTGAGTTTTAAATACATGATCAAGGCCCTGACATAAAAGCTGTTGTGCCTAAATTTGAAATTTATCCATTTATAAATAACAAAGTTATAGTCATTGCAGAAAAAACAAGAGAATTTTATTAATTTGACCTTATATAAAAAATCGGTGAAGATCAAATAATCTAACCTTCAAGGTAAAGGCCACTAATGAGCCAAGATCAATTTGCGTCTAATATACACAAAGGCCTTATTCTAAAGATTGTAGTGTCTTAAGATTAAGTCAATCAGTTGATAGCAATAACAAAATCAATAATTTGACCTTCAAGTTCAAGATCATTTATAAGTGAAGGTCAAGGTCAGTCTGGTTAGCTTCAAGATCTATTGTGATCAAGTCAAAAACAAGTTATAGTCACTTATTGCAAAAATCAAAATTATCTTTATTTTAACATTTGACCTGGAGGGTCAAAGTCATTTATAAATGAAGGTCAAGTTAAGTCTGATCTACTTGAAGGTCTTTTCCCAAGGCTTTTGTGTTGACAAGTATGAAGACAATACACCAACAACTTAAAAGTAATGATTAAGATTAAAGTTTGTTGGCGGCAGCAGGAACATTTACATGACTGTAACAGTACCTTTATCTTTTTTTCTTTGAAAAAAAGTCGAACTAAAAATGAGTGATGCACACATGCAAGACTCAAACTTATTCATTAAAATGGAAGAGCTCCAAATCAAGTGATACAATAATCTTTCATCACTTATATTTTTATTTCAAATTTTCATAGCATACATATTGATAACTGTCTTTTTTTTATCGTTTTATAAATATGTTCACTTCATGGCCTCATTTGTATCATTCCTGAGAAGTTTCATTAAAACTTTGAGTTGATGTAGTTAATAATGATGAATAACAACAATAACAAGAGGGCCATGATGGCTTGAAATCGCTCACCTGAAATTAAAAACTCTCCATGACACGGAACACGTAATATGGTAATCTATGAACAAAAGCAGATATAAAATCTTGGGCATGGCCAAATATCACCCCAGGGCTTTTATTTGAACAAACTTAGATGACACCCACAAAAAGATGTTTAATACTTAATATCTAAGCTCTAGCTTTTATGGTTTTTGTAAATAAGATTTTCTAAGTTTGTAATATAAACATATAAGGGAAAATCAATCATCCCGGGGGTGATGCCAATTTCGACTCAAGGGCACTTTTGACACTCAATAAATATTTCATGCTAAATATCTAAGCTCTAGCTCTTCAGGCTTTTATATAAAGATTTTTTAAGTCTTTACTATAAACATGTAAAGAAAATGACACCCCTCCCCCAAACATGGGGCTTTTATTTCAATAAACTTGGTAGACATCCACTAGAAGATGTTTCATGATAAACAGCTAACCTCTAGCTCTTTGGGGTTTTTAAAAGATGATTTTTTTAAGTTTTTACTATATAAAAGTATTAAGGAAAATCAATGACCACCAGGCAGGGAAAATTTGGACCCCAAGGGCTTTTATTTGAACAAACTTGGTAGACACTCACTAGAACATGTTTCATGTCAAATATCTAAGATCTAGCTTTTTGTGCTTTTCAAGAGAAGATTTTTTAAAGTTTTTTTTTCTTAGGGTTGAAATAGCAACCAGAGTTCTGTATGGAATTAAATTCTTTGAACAATTTTCAAAGGTGACCAACCAAGGAACTTTCCTGTGAAGTTTGGATGAAACTGGCTTGAAGCGATGTATGAGGTAATGTCATTTATAGTAAAAGTTTATGTACGAACGGTTGCCGAAAGAAAAGTGATCACTTTGTGACAGGTGAGCTATCGACAGACCAAATCCTGGTTGAAATCCTTGAGAAGTTAAAGAGCTGCACTACGAAAGTACAGTTAATTTTCCTTTATATAGTAAATTATGGGAAAAAAAGAACACAGGGAAATATTCCGTCTAAATAAAGATTACAAAATTTGCTTAAGAGCACTGATAATAATTTATGTGAAAATTTGGATGAACTAGAGCTATCACTAAAGGTGATTTATACCCGCACAGCAACTTTGACTTTTTGAAAAATAAGTGGTCTGAAGAAAAATTTGAACTAAACCTATAAAAGATGAAGTATCAACTGTGCACAAAGAATTATTGCAATTTATTGCAATCCCAACCATGACCTTCATATTAACTTGCTATTAACCAGGTTTGGTTACAATATTTCATTCCTAACTCTAGTTATTGTCCGGAATTCATTTTTTTATTTTTAGAAATGACTTTGACCTTGAACACTGGGAATCCAAATGCAATACCAATCTGGGTTTCCACAGAAGGTTGCTATATACCAAGTTTAATTACAATACCTCTTTCCAAATTCTACATATTTATTGTTTGGAAACCATTTTTCTATTTTTAGTAATGGTGACCTTAATCTTGACCCAAGGGAGTCCAAATGCAATATGTATATTGAGGGGGTATGAATATATCAGGAATGTTGCTAGGAGAAATTAATCATAAAATATTTGTATGCCTACTAACTAGCAAACATTTAGCTATGTATTTACCAGTATTGTCTTTTAGAAAACCTTAAAAATCAACAACAATCAATAACATAATACACATATTAGTTAGTTAAAGCAACATTTAAGAGCATACTTACATCTAAAATAGCTTTCATTTCTACATCCCACCTATTGTACTTCTCAACATGTCTCACCACATCATTTGCATTTTCCCTTAGTACATTTTTCTGGCTATCAACTCCTTTGCCTGTTATTTTCTGTTCTACCATGATTCTGTCATACACTGCAATGCAGTGGATAAAGACCTGGACACACAGCTGAATTGTTTCAACTCTATTGTTTACAAGACTTCTTTTTAGCATGTGAGATGCAATGTGGTAGCACATTGTCCAGCTTGAAAGCTGATGACTGTCACTTAAAAAAAGAAATTTAACATAATGTACCTTCTGTCTGATATTTGTAATAAAACTTGACAACATGCCGAGGGGAACTTGCTAAATTAAAATCCCTCCCAAAATGTTGATGGTGTGGCCTATGGAGGGTATGACATTATATTAAATATAAAACAAGAGTCATTGCCGGGTCTAAGCACTTTTCTACTTTTTTTTTTACTTTTTCTAAAATAAATTGTTCAAACAAATCTTTAAAAAAGAAAATTAAAGAAAAAAAAATGTTTGAAATTTTTGTTTCATTTCAATAGGTTTGTCTGTGAGTTACACTTGTCGTTTTGTCTAAGTATGAGTCATTTCCATAAACAAATGTCAAAGTTAATAAAAATTAATGAGCAAAATCCAATCATCTGATTTCGACGGTCAAGGTCATATCTAAATTATTGAACGCATTTGTTGGGTTACAGGTGTTGTTTTGTCCACATATGAAACAAATCCTTACATAATTAACAATATTTTGAAAATTGAACCAAATTCAATAATTTGACCTTGATGGTCAAGGTGATTTAAAGTAAAAGGTTAAGGTTAGTTCAACATTTCAGGTTTTATTCTATGCATATGTCAAACTGGAAGGGTTTTTGTCACAAAAACATATGTCTCCTAAAACTATGTATGGTCACCCCTGTAAAGTTTGGTTGAAATCCACCAGAACTTTGACCTGTGAAGTCCGGACAAGATTTTTTCTATTTTACTGTAGTTAATGTTAATTAATTTTAGTGCCGGTGATGTGCACAACACAGGATGGTACTGATCACTCTTGTAAAGTTAGTTGAAATCCCACCAGCAGTTTGACCTGTGAAAGCCAGACAAGATTTTTCTATTTATAGCTCTGGTGGCCATTTGGTGCAGCAAAGGGGAACATGCCAGTCATGTGCACAACTAGATATGGTACTGATCACTCCTGTAAAGTTTGGTTGAAATCCTTCCAGTAGTTTTAACTGTGAAGGGCCGACAAGATTTTTCTATTGTTTGCTCTGGTGGCCATTTTGTGCAGCCCGTGATGTGCACAACAAATTTTGTACTGATCACTCCTGTAAAGTTTGGTTGAAATCCAACCAGTTGTTTGACTCTTGAGGCCGGACAAGATTTTTCTATTTTTAACTCTGGTGGGCATTTTTTACAACGAAGGGGAACATGCCGGTGACGTACACAACTAGGGATAGTACTAATCACTCCTGTAGAGTTTGGCTGAAATCCAACCAGTATTTTAACCTGTGAAGGCCGGACAAGATTAATGTGGAGGGACGGACAGACAGACCGTGAAAACAAAAACAATAAGTCTCCCAATTATTTTGGGAGACATTATGAAATCTAAACTTTAAACTGATATCATAAAGTTCATAATTTTATCTAATATACTGCACATGTAAACGTTTCTGGTTGCTTTTGTTCAGGAAATATAATAGTTTCTAAAGAAGTCACTACTTGGTGTACAAAATCAATGGTTTCCTTGGAAGTCGGTGGCTTCTATGAAATTCAATGATAGATTCACTCATTTCTATGTAAAATTAATGTTTGCTATGAAGGCACTGGTTTCTATTAAAAGTCCATTGCTGTTGTGGAAAGGAAACGGTTGCTATAGGAGTAATATGTTGCTATGGAAATTCAATGGTTGTCATGGAAGGTCAATGGTTGCTATGGGAGTCACTTATTGCTATCGGAAGTCAATGTTTGCTATGAAAGTCATTGGTTGCTGAGGAAGCCTATGGTTGCTATGGGAAATCAGTGGTAGCTATGAAAGTCAGTGGTTGCTATCGAAAGTCACTGGTTGCTATGGAAAGTCACTAGTTGAAATATGAAAATCTATGGTTGCTATGGAAAGTCACCGGTTGCTATGCAAGTAATTGATTGCTATGGAGAGCCAATGCTTGCTATTGAAAGTCCCTGGTTGCTATGGAAAGTTAATGGTTGCTGGTTGCTTTTGGAGGTCACCAATTGCAATGGAAGTCTTAAATGTTGCTATGAAAAAAATACAAGCTGCTATGGAAATTTATGCCACTTTGGAAAGTCAATGGCTGTTATGAAAGTCTATGGTTGCTATGGAAAATAACTGATTATTTTGTAGGTCAATGGTTGCTTTTGATAGTCACTGGTTGATATGGAAAGTCACTGGTTGCTATGGAAGTCTATGGTTGCTATGGAAAGCCCTAGAACAGGGCAAATTTTAACCTAGGGGCTTTAATTTGTTTAATTTTGTAGAGGCCACTAGACAATGTTTCATACCAAATATGTGAACTAAAGCCCATTTAGTATAATAGATTTTTTTTGTTTTTATTATATACATATAAGGAAAATCAATGACCCCCTTTGGCCAATTTTAACTCGAGGACTATAAATTGAAATTTTTTTGAAGAGGTTTATCAGACAATGTTTCATACTGTATATTTAAGCTTAAGCCTCTATAGTATTGGTTTTGAACAACCCATGAAATTTTCATCAAATTCGACCCCATAGTTTCAGAGAAGAAATCGTTTGTTAAACAGTTGAGTCGAACACACTGACGAACGGACATACTTAGGAAATGGATACTGATATTACTTTTCCTTTGATCTTTATACTTAGGAAATGGATACTTATATGATTTTTCCTTTGATATTTTTAGTCATTTTAGTCATACAAGGCCTAAAATGAGACACACAAGTAAACACAGAATGGATAGGATCAAAGAAGTTGTGCCATTACCTATCGTCCTCTTTAAAGTCATACACATACGTCAGCACTGAGCGACATAAAAACCAGCAAAAAGCAAGCAAAATTTAGACATTTGACTTTGAAGGTCAATGTTATTTACGAATGAAGGTCAAGTTTAAACTAGTGATAAAGGTCTTGACCAAGGCTTTTTACGGCCAAGAATGAAAACTGTATCAATACCTCTACTTTTCCCCAAAAACGTCGAACATAAAACCATCAATCTAGTGAAATAATATCATCACAGTGTAACTGATAAAATTATTTATGTAAAAGTTGGAGAATTATCAACTTTTTTACTTTAAAATCCAATAGTAAAGTTGGAAAGAGTAAACTGTTAGGTTTCATGCACATGATTTGAACAGTGCAATCAAAATGCACACAAATTAAAAATGCCTAAGACAAACCTGTAAAAAGTTTCTTGTAACTGTGTCAGCAATGAATTAATACAATGTTGGACAGTCTGAAAAAAAGAGAAAAAATAATAAAACAAAACCTATAGTTGGATACAGACATATGCCCCCAGAATTGAACCATACCTTTGACTGACAACAAAGGCATGTTTATTATAAAGAGAGTGTAACAAGAATATAGAACACATGGGCCATTGGCCCCAAACCACTCACGTCAGGCCAGACTGATTTTTGTGTGAAAAAGCAGTACAAGCTAGTGTTGCTTACGAAGATTTGAGCAATGTTGGTCACTAGACTATAGTTCATGCAAATTTAATAATAAACACATGGACAAAATATCATAGCTGTATGTATACATCATGGCCCTTATATCGCTCAACTGATTATTAAGGCTCTATTAATATTGTTGACAATGAATGGAAAAGCAGATAAAATGTCATTATCTTAAATTAATATCATAATGTTTATATCTGCACTTGCAACAGTGCAAATGTGAACAAGGTTTTCCATATTTTGGCTGCCCCTTGTTTTTAATCCCAAATGACCCATATTTGAACTTGTGCTAGACATTGTTTAAAAAACCTTTGAAATGTTTTTTTAACTTAGAGTTTGTCCTTAAATATGTGTGGGCAAAGATTTGTTTCACAAACAGACACAAATACAAAGAGACACAGTTAATATAAATCCAACACTTAGTAAAATACTGTGATTTTGAAAAGGATCTTACCACTAAAAAAAGAGTAACTTTAATATATTTGAAAATAAATGCAAACTTTATAAAAACTACTGCTTATTATGATAATTTGTAATGCACAAAGAGAGGTTTTTTGTTTCTGCCTTCTTATTGTTTTCTGTAGTTATAGTAAAGTTCTTGCATTCCCTCATAATAATGATTAAGTTAGTTTGAATTTCTGTATTGATGTACTTTGGCATGCCTAAAGTTTTCTAGTAAGAGCTCTAAAAACTTTTCAAAACTAGAAATCACTCTTTCCTCAATTGTGCAAAAAATTAAACAATCTTACATACTAAAATAAAAGCTTATATTACATTTTCTTGCAAATTACCTTTTCAGCATTTGACATGTCACGAAGTTTAGAACTGTCATAATAATTCGTTTCTGGCTTGTTCACTTTTAACTGGTATGTTAAACGGGCAAGGCATGCTTCCACTGGTATTTCTCTTGTTTCAAGTACTTTCTGTAGGTCAGATAAATCAACAGCAGCTAGAAATGACCTTGGGAGAAGATAATCCATCTCAAACAGTGGACTTAAGATTGACAACATCTTTTCTACTTGGCTGAAACAAAAGTGACCTTGGTTTTATTATCAATATCTAAAACATATAATATGACCTTCAAAAGCAATCCCTAAAATTAATTTAATCTGTACTCTAGCATTAAACTGGAATGATAAAAGTTCTATAAGATTTTACATGGTCAAAGAAAAGTATTATCACCATTGTTAGAATAGCGAGGATTCATTATGCTAATTATGCTATACACATTTGCAATCTGACTTCAAAATCCCCTGACACATGAGAGAGTTAAAGGCTTGAAAAGATTTTTGGAATACAGTGTAATTAACACAAGATGTTCATTTTATGCAATTCTGTTTTTTGGTTTGGTCATTATGACCCTAAATCCTGTAATGCTATTAACATTTGCTCACTAATAAAAAACCGTGAAATTAAGAGTCACGCTTTTATGATGTAGATTTGTTTACATGAACATCGCCTGAAATCAAGGTAAATGTCACTTTCCATTGTCACTGTCATTTGTGACTGCATCTCCACCAATTACAAGGGAATATTTTAAGCCATACACATGTTATTGAAATAATAGATAATGGTCTTACATTAGCCAATTTCCTCGTTTCTTTTTGAATTCATCCAGCTCTTTATCTATATCAGCTATTCCCCACCATGTTGGCTGAGACTTGTCATGTCCCACATCCACCTCAGGAGGTTGAAATGGCAAACAATTGTCAGAGAGGAAATGTACCAAGGGTAAAACACAAAGCCAACAAGGATCCTTGGATGTACTACAAACTTGCTTGATAAATGCTAAAATAGCATCTAGTAGTATTTTTCTGTGAAATAGATATAATTCATTTACTAAACAATAAATAAGTCATAAAACTATTGTAACCAATAAAGTATTTTATTATATACAATTATAAAAATAATAGATATAGCCACTTTGGTACATTTTTAAGATATTTTCTAAGAAAGGTGCACACTTAAACTGTCAGAGTTATGAAACTTGACACTCATACACAGATGCATTGTAATTTCACATTGATATGTCAAGTTTGTACAGAATTTCCCTATACTTATTGCAAAGTGTTACTGCCAATCATTTAAAAAACAGTGAAAATTCAATAATTACACCTACAAGGTAATGATCATTTGAAAGTCAAGGTCAAAGTTAGTAAAATCTACATATTTTGTTCTTAAGGATGTTGTGTCTAAAATATGGACAATCCATTCATAGTCATAACAACTTTCCAGCTAGTTAAAATATATAAAAGAGGGCCATGATGGCCCTGAAGTCGCTCACCTGTATATAGGCCCCCGGAGCGGGGCCAGTTTAAACTCCAGGGCTTTTATTTGAACAAACTTGGTAGACACCCATTAGACGATATTTCATGCTTAACATCTAAGGTCAAGCTGGTCAAGTTTTTTTCTTTACACATATAGTTAAAAACAATGACACACCTGGGGCAGGGCCAGTTTTGACCCAAGGGCTTTTATTTGAACAATCTTTGTAGACACTTACTAGAAAATGTTTCATGCTTAATATCTAAACTCTAGCTATTCGGGTTTTTTCAAAGAAGACTTTTAAGTTTTTGCTATACACATATAAGGAAAATCAATGTCAGCCCGGGCCGGGCCAATTTTGACCCCAGGGCTTTTATTTGAACAAACTTGGTAGACATCCATTAGAACATGTTTCATGCCAAATATCTAAGCTCTAGCTCTTTGGGTTTTTTAGAAGAAGATTTTTTAAGTTTTTACTATATGCATATAGGGAAAATCAATGACCCCCTGGGGCGGGGCCAATTTTGCCCCTAGGGCTTTTATTTGAACAAACTTGGTCGACATCCATTAGAACATATTTCATGCCAAATATCTAAGCTCTAGCTCTTTGGGTTTTTTAGAAGAAGATTTTTTAAGTTTTTACTATATACCCTAAGAGAAATTTTACATTTGTGCCAAGTAATTTCAAAATCCCTTTAACAATAAAACAATTATGGACAGGACACAAAATATACCCTATTATAGATCATATTAAGCTTTGTCCTCTAAGTGTGGCCTTGACCTTGGAGATAAGGGCACAGGTGTAAAGCATGACACAATGTCTTATTATTGTCAACATTTGTGCCAAGTAATTTCACAAGAGCTGGTTAAACCGGGTGATGAGATTTTCCAAAATTAGGCAAGTAAGAGTTACAATTCTTTTGTGCTGCATATCTATTCATGAGATCTATCTACCTACAAAGATTCATGGTTATATCTCTTATAGTTTCAGATTTATGTCTCAGACAAAGTTCAAAGTGAAAATAATGAACAACGGGGCAATAACTCCAAAAACAAGAGCCATGTTAGAATGTATATGTAGTTGAGCAGAATAATTCAGCATAAAGAGGCCTTTGGTAATGAAAACTGATGGCTGAAGTGTAGGAAAAGTTTTAAGTACTTTAAAAGTAATCTCGCAAAAAGTTTTTAAGGTATTACGACCCTAATTGGCATTATAAGGAACTAAAAAATTGACATCATAGTTCAGATATATACCTTAAAGTACACCTGTATGCAAAATTTAAATCAAGTTTGGCCACTTTCCTAAACTCAAGCTAGGATGTTATGAGGGCCCTTTTTAGAAATGAGGAACCTTTAAATAATCTGCAATTACATTCTAATGAAAAATGTTTTCCCATTAATTTTTGGTAAGAAACAACTTAGGTTCCATTCAGCTAACAATCCACATAAGCAAAATTATGGTTTCTACTTAAAATTTATGAAATCTGTATAAAAATGTTACCCTACCCCACCCATTTTACCACGTGTCTGACCATTTTCCTCCTTAGGGAGACTTATTTAAAAAATCCTTAAAATTTACCCAAATGAGTACCTGTTTTCAAAGTTTCTCTAAATTTTTAAAGAAGTATATTGGTTGATCTTGAAAAATATGAAATACTTTTACCGTCTAGTTTTGATTTTATTACACTTTGAAAATATCAGGTACCATATTTATTACTAGAATTAACATAATTTAGCCAATAAATACCTATATAAATTAAAAAATCAAAATTAAACACTTTTTTTTTTCCAAATGGGACATGAGAGATACATAAATAATGTTAAAAGAAAAAAAGAAAGAAAAAAAAATGTTGACCCTTCTGGGGATTGAACCCACGGCCCTTATTTTCAATGTAGTTAACAGTAGTTCTAGCCTATTTGAATACTCTTCAAAGCGGAGGTAATGCATTAGGATGGTAATACCTTAAGGGACAGACAGACTGATATACACTCTGAGGACAATCTTTAAATATCTCTGTTTATGCCCATCCAAGGGTATAAATTTAGTGAATTGGTGAAAGTTAAATTAAGTTTACATTTTGCCACTATTCCTTATAATTTTCGGCAAGGCTCAACATTTTTTACTTTTTCTAAACGCAAACAAATAAAAGGTTTAAACAAATTTTTAAAAAGAAAATCTTTTCCTTTTTTTTTTAATTTTAATGAATCCTTCCCATAAATAAATCACAAAGTTATATATAATATAATCAAAGTTCAATCGGTTCAAGGTCATTTAAAGAAATCATGGACAGTTGGACTCATTAATCTTATCTATAACAAGAACTGTCGGAGGACAGTATTGGCTCAACTATTCAAAAATTGTCACAAGGGTGTTTTATTGAGTATAATAATGCTAATACCTATGAATACATAAAATTGACCGAAAAGGTACAAAGGCTTGTTATTAAGATGTTTTATCAAGTAAATCACAGCTTTATTATTATGAATGCATAAAAATGTCCCAAAAAAGGCACAAACTCTTCAGTAGTTATGGAGATAACAGCTTACAAGCAAAACTTTACCATGAATTTCTAAGTTGAAAAAGGGGAGAAAAATCAGCCTCAATGCAAGAGAATTATGGATCTTGGTCAGTGACCTACAATTATGATTCTAAATGCATATGTGAAGTTTTAAATAAATATCTTTAATAGTTATTGAGATATGTAAAACTTGCATGTAAATATTAACCAAGAGACTAAGTAGAAAAGGGGAGATGAATCAGCCTAAATGCTAGTAGAGTTATGGAACTTGGTAGGTGACATACAATTATGACTCTCCAATTATGACCCTAAGTACATGTTTCAAAGGGGCAAATAATTCCTCAAATATTGCAGGCAGAGTTATGCAATTTTGCAAACTGATGTACATTGTTACTACAAAAAAGTATTGTTAATTTCAATTGAATATCTCAAGCAATAATTGAGATATTTGACTTTACAAAAAAACTTTAACCAAACTTTCTAAGTTATAAAGGGGCATAATTCTGTAAATATTATAGGCAGAGTTATCCAACTTGTCAATATGATGTACATTGTTACTATAAATAAGTATAGTAAGTTTCAATTGAATATCTCAAGCAATAATTGAGATATTTGACTTTACAAAAAACTATAACCAAAATTTCTAAGTTAAAAAGGGGCATAATTCTGTCAATATTGTAGGCAGAGTTATCCAACTTGTCAATATGATGTACATTGTTACTATAAATAAGTATTGCAAAGTTAGCTGCAATTGTCAGGGAAGAAGAACAAGAATTTATTGAAAGCATTGCAGCAGAAACTTGCGAAATATGTGATGAATCATTTGACATATGTTGTTCTCTGCAACAACTTGAGCAGGTAGCATTGGATTCGACAAAGGTCAGAAGTCACTGAAATTTCCAAAGTGGTTTGGAGTATTGCGAAAGTTCTCGGTATACAATTTTATTTTCAGTTATGCTATTACTACTGTAATATATTTTTTACCTAAATATAGTTTACTCCTTAAAAGGTAAATATTCTAGTTACAAAACTCCTTTATAAAATGTGACACTATGCTCCTTTTATGACGTAAGATTTTTTGTTCATGCTAAAAATAATAGCATGATTTGAACATATCTTTGGCAAGAACATTGACTATAAATGCTTAAGAATATATAGTACCACTGTTCAGTTAAAATCGTCTCCAATAAAAGACTGTTGGAATTCATTTAAGTGTTTGCGTATTTTTCAGTGTTAGAGAAAGTTAAAAGTAAATGGTGAAACTCTACAACATGGAGATGAAGGTTCATGCCAAAAAGAGGTTGTGACTTTAAATATGAAGTTTATCAAATTATAAATAACAAAGTTATAGCCAGTTACAAAAAAACACACGAGTATTTCATTAATTTGAACTTGACAGTCAAGGTTATTTAAAGGTCAAGGTCAGTTCAACCTTTAAGATTATTGTGTCAAAGTATGAAGATAATCCATTTATTAGTTACCAAGTAACAGTCAATTATAGCCAAAAAATCAGTGAAAATTCAATTATTTAACTTCAAATTCAAGGTTATAAAAGAGCCAAGGTCAATTTGAGTTTGATATACATGTCATAACAAAGTTACAGCCAGTTACATCAAAAAATTGAAAATTTTAATAATTTGACCTGCAAGGTCAAGGTTATTCAGGTTAAGGCCTGTCTGGTTAACTTGAAGGTCTATCCTAAAAAGATAGTTAAAGCCACTTATAGCCAAAATCAGCAAAAAAATCATGCAAAGTTTAGACATTTGACCTAGAAGGTCAAGGCCTTTCATGAATAAAGGTTAAGGTTAGTTTGGTCTCCTTAAAGGTCTTGTCCCAGGGGTTGTTCTGACCAAGTACGAAGTCAATACACCAAGAACTTAAAAAGTTATGATCAAGGTACAAGTTTGCGGATGGCAAAAAATGAAATGATCTAATAAAACAATCTCATACACAGACAAAATATCTGAGACAAATTGCAGAAAGATGATTACTGTCATAAACATAACACATTCAGTTTATCAAAATTAATTCTTTTTCATTTTGCAACATGCAAGTTTGTGTTTGAACATTAATATACTGTAATTAAACTTTCAGAAAATTTTAGGAATTAGTCTTGTATATAAATATTGATGGATAAGAAATTTTAAAACAAATATTTCAAGATTTAGAAATTACTTTTTTCCTTGGAAAATTCTGTTTGCAAGTTGTAATTCTGGGCATTCTTTTTTTTCCACATCAGCAGAAACTACTAAAGCCTTAGCCAGTACACGTTGACTTTTACCATCAGGCAGATCCAAGTCAATCTGTTTCATCACTAACAATATCATGAGAGCTGCTCCTGTGGTTTTCACCTTTTTGTCCGGCATATCAGACATTAGTTGTTGCTCAAAATTTACCTTTTTCATCAGTACTGTTGCGATCAACCTACTCATCTTAAAACAGATTCAAAAGCATTTACCAATTTAAAAGTATCTCAATTACAATGAATTATGTTGATCAACTAGAAACTGTTTCTTTCAAAAAGTAACTACTATATGATTTCATCACTGTTTGCCAAATGGTTAGGAAAAGGATTTTGTTTGAAGTGAAATATTCACACAGGGCAAGGGGCAATTGCTCATTTTTAAGAACATTTTCTGAGGTGAGTTTAAATATGGTTATATTACTTTTTATATGCTAAGATGAAATTAAATGTGAATTATTTTTTAAACTGAAAAACAGTTCATTCAAATTTCTTTTAACATTATTTAAGCACATCATTATTTCAAGTAACAAAGAAATACACTAAGTCACAAATCACAATGTGATGTTAAATTCTATAAGGATAGTATATATGAATTTTTTTATTATAATATAAATCTATGGTGAGAATCATTACAATAGTTGAGGATAAAAATATGCTTTGTAAATACTATTTATACTTTTGTCTTAAAAATAAATATACCAGCCTGGGATTAATTTATATTTTGTCTAATATTTCAAACAAGTGACATTGATTATCACAAAACCAGATTTTCTGCAAAGGATAATGGATAAATCACTTCAAATGTGTTAGCCTTATGCAAAGTTTCTGTAGCCACATAAGTACCCTCTTGTAAGTGCAGACAGACATGCAAAAAAAATGTAATAAGGGGCTGTTTCATGTGCTATTTTCTTTTGTCCAATAAACCACCATTTGCTCCTTACTGTAAAGTTACAGAATGAACTCAGCTGTTCTCTTTTGTTCTGGTTACAGCAAGAGTGCCCCCTATCCTTATTCAGACATATACAAAAATCATCAAATCACATTTCCCTGACAACATGGGCTAGGGCATTTCATGAAAATTTCTTTTAAATCTATGAAGGAGTTGCAAACAGAAGAAATGTGTCATCTGAAATGAAACCTCTCATCTGCTTGATGACATTAAGAGATTAATACATGACAGAGAAGGGCCGAAAGGTGATAATCGGCCCGCAAAATGAATAATGGCCCAAGAGCTTCAGTCTGAGGGCATTATTCATTTCAGGGCCGATTATCACCTTCTGGCACAACTATGATGTGTATAAATGTCTTTAATACACTTGTTACATCTAATAGTAGCATTTTTCTAAAAAAATACTTTGATATTTCTTTTGTTTAAATTCCTGTCTGTATTTCTACTGTACTGTACAGTAACTTCTACAGAGTTGTTTACTTTTTGTGTGTACAAAGTACACTTGAAGCTAGAAGCAAGTTTCATTTTCATTTTTTTTCCGAATGAATTTGTCGTATTATTTCTTTAAATTTCAATAGATAAAAAACTATGTTTGGACGAAATACGCTTTAAAGCTCTCATAATAAAATCAAGCGATTCATGCTAAAAACCTACTTTCACTTTCACAGTTAACTGTTTGATGACGTAAAATATGACGTCATTGTTTCAGTTTGTGCACGTGCACATGTTCGCCAAGCCGATAACTAGTTCTCGGCCCCGGGCCTCAAACTCATATTAGGTCACGTGACACTCATAATCACTTGAAATCATAGGCAATTTTGTTACTAGATATAGTAACAAGTGTATTTATCATCAATCTATAAACCAGTTCCCTCAGAAAACTTGGTTGAAATTTTAACTGAAAACTTACATTTGTCATATACTCTTTTAGGCTTATATAGCATTTTCCATCAAGCAGATATATCTTCTTCATGCATTCAAGCAGCATTTTAAGCTGGTGAACAACATCTTCAACCTGGAGAAAACTTTTATCATTTTCCATTATCTCTGGGCAAAATACTTCTACAGCTTTTTCTGCATGTTGGATTAAATCCTTCTTCCAGGTAAAGTAGTCAACTACCCTACCTGTCCAAGATTTTTTTTCATTTTCAATAAAGCAGTCATATTGATGCCACATATCTGGAAAAAAATTGATTAATATGTATATATATATGACATCTTTATTGCACCTTTCTGAAAAACACATTGATAAGGTATATTTCCTGTATAAATTTGGAAAGGTCCATAATTAACCAAAACTAATCCTAGGTTCTAATTTTGATTTCAAGGGTGTGATTCTAGAGATTTTGTATTGGTCAATTGTGATCTTTGGTTCACAATTATAAATGAATTGCCTCAGAACCGCTAAAACAAGGCTAAATATAAAATAAAAAAACTCTAGGCTTTAAGGTTCTTTACAATATTCTTTGCTTAATAGTCTTCTTAAAAGAAATGATGGATCCCTTTTTACTCTTATTTGAATGGAGTTTTTAGAAGATCTGTAGGCCATTCTTTAATCTAAATATATTTTTAACTGTTTTCTTTATGTGCATATTACTAATGGAGTTCTGAATGGAATATAAACTACAGTTGTCAGTAAGACAGTGTACTTGACTATTTTCAATGCTTGCTAATGTAGGAATTAACAAAAATGAGGATTTCAATAAATAAAATACATCATATAATACCAAACCCATGTCAAGAGTTTTGGGCCTTGTTCAGTGACCACCTATTATGATCCCAAAGACATAAAGTTTAAACTCATTGTTTTCAGTTTTTTGATGAATGAAGTCTGAAGTAAAGCATTAAGGTTTTTTTCTGAATTTGCAAAGGGCCATAAATATGTAAAAAATCAATATCATAGTTATAGACTTGGTTTGTGACCTACAATTATGATCATGAAAACATAATTATATTTATATTTAAGTGTAAACCTTCAAGGTTTGAAGATTAAATTAAATGTGGCATGCAAAACTTAAACTATAAGAATTAAGTCAGTTCCACAAAAGCCATTATTCAGCCAAAATCCTTGCCAAATAAGCAAATTGGTTGAATTTATATCCGCCACTGAATACTGATTACTAACACAACAACTGGAGGCTTTATTTACATAAATTTATCATGGCATTCAAATTTCCTATTCATATTGATGGTTCCCCTAAAGTCTCCTTGAAATCAATCTAGTAGTTGAAAAGAAATAGCAATATTGCTCTAAATGCATACTGCACAACTAATCAAAGGCGGCTTCAATACCAAAAGGAGATGTGCACATTAATGGCGCCATTACTCTGTACAATAACAAGACGAGAATATGCACATCGCCTCTTAGTATTGGAGGTTCCCATAAAGTTTTTATTGAATTCCAGCCAGTAGTTGCAGAGAAGTAGTGCGGAAACGATTATTGCTCTATATGCATACAGCATAACTAATCAAGGGCCATAACTCTGAGTTAAAGGGTCTGACCCGAACAAGGCTACAATATGTGCATCTCTTCTTGGTATTGAAGATTCCAATAAAGTTTCGTTGAATCCAAGCCACTTGTTGCAGAGAAGAAGTCTGGAAAAGATTATTGCTCTATATGTATACTGTATAACCAATCAAGGGTCATAACTCTGATTTAAAGCGAGGAAATGTGCACATCTCCTTTTGGTATTGAAGGTTCCCATAAAGTTTTGTTGAATTCCAGCCAGTAGTTGAAGAGAAGAAGCACGGAAACAATTATTGCTCTATATGCATATTGCATAACTAATCAAGGGCAATAACTCTAAGTTCAAGGTTCTGACTAGAACAAAGTGATGATATGTACATCTCCTCTTGGCATTGAAGGTTCCAATAAAGTTTTGTTAAATTCCAGCCACTAGTTGTAAAGAAGAAGCGTGGAAACGATTATTGCTCTATACGCATACTGCACAACTAATCAAAGGCCATAACTTTGAGTTAAAGTGTCTGATCGGAACAAGGCCATGATATGCCATCTCCTTTTGGTATTGAAGGTTCCCACAAATTTTTGTTGAATTCCATCCTGTAGTTGCAGAGAATAGCACGGAAACAATTATTGCTCTATAAGTATACTGCACAACTAATCAAAGGCGGCTTCAATACCAAGAGGAGATGTGCACATTAATGGCGCCATTACGCTGTACAATAACAAGACGAGAATATGCACATCGCCTCTTAGTATTGGAGGTTCCCATAAAGTTTTTATTGAATTCCAGCCAGTAGTTGCAGAGAAGTAGTGCGGAAATGATTATTGCTCTATATGCATACTGCATAACTAATCAAGGGCCATAACTCTAAATTAAGGGGTCTGACCGGAACAAGGCGACAATATGTGCATCTCCTCTTGATATTGATGGTTCCTATAAAATTTCGTTGAATTCCAGTTGCAGTGAACTAGCGAGGATACGAAACCTGGAGGGATGGGTGGACGGACGGACGACTGGCCGACCAATTCTTTTGTTATTTTCTTTTTTTAATAGAGGGCCACAATGGCCACTTACTCTATTGTTTCTAAATGAACTCTATTGTTATCTTGGTCTGTTTATAGTTAGATGGCCCCTATCCCTATTCGGTCCCTAGACGGCCAACGCCAAAACAATATCCCCCTACCGATTCCATCGACGGGGGATAATAAACTTAAGCAGAAAATCAGTTTACTGACTGTTGCTTACTTTAATATAAAAATTTATCAATGGTTTAGATGGAAAACTGTCATACGTAAGTTACTACACTGCTGCGTATCTTAGTAAGAAAGACTTAACAAGGTTTTCAGATGGACAACTGTAGTAACATACTTTTTGATAAAAATCTTCATTTTTATCAATGGTCCATATAAAAAAACTAAACTTAGGCATTTATCTGAATTATAATGATAATGCTCATGCTGTCTCATATGCTGTAAAAAATGAAAGTTTTTATCTTCTGTAAATTTTGGAAACTGTAGAACTACAGTGTTGCTTTCAGCCCTCGAATTTAGCTCTGGGTCAGATGAAATAAAAAGTAATTTAAATTTATAACATATATTTAAGATAACAAGAAAATACACTAATATAAAGGAATTTAAAGAAATGAGCACACTATTTAATTATTAACCCAAACTCATACTATAATTGATTTGATTAATCTGAAATATAAAGTAATTACCTAGGCCTTTCAGCTTCAGATATACTTTTAAATCCCTGTTGACATCCTTTCCTGACTTGTAGTTGTTTAAGTAATGTTCCCATCTTTCCTTATCTGGTTTATCACCTTTAATGATCACATACTTGTAAGTAATGGAAGGTCCACCGGATATAAGTCTTGTAGGTATCACTTCATCAAACACCATCTCATAAACATAGGCATCTATTTTCCTTCAGATTAATAAATAGTTAAGCATTATTCAACCAAACTAATCTGCTTCATACATATGCTCTGAAATTTACCATCAATTTCTTTTTTTAAAAATGACACGCTTTTGCATGCTGACTATAAAATATAGTACCCTTTAAAATATTTCTAACATGACACAAATGAAATAACATAATAAACAAGAGGGCCATGATGGCCCTAATATCGCTCACCTGAATAGAAATACTCTTCTTGACAAGAAACAAGTAATATTGTAAACTATAAACATAAGCAGATATAAAATCTTAATTTTAAACTGATATCTTAAAGTTCATATTTATATCTGAAATAGTGCACATGTAAAAACTTTACTGGTTGCTATCTTTAAGGGAAAACAAAAGTTATATAAAAAGTCACCGGTTGCTTATAAATCATTGGTTTCCTTGGAAGTCAGTGCCTGTATGAAATTCAATGGTAGATTCACTCATTGCTATGGAAAATTAATGTTTGCCTCACCTGAGGGCTATAATTTGGGAAAAAATTGTAGAGGTCAACGAGATAATGTTTCATACCAAATATCTAAGATAGAGCCTCTATAGTATTACAGCAGAATTTGTTTTGTTTTACTACATTGTATAATTATACATAGAAGGAAAATCAATTTTGACCAAATTAAAGACTGTAATTTGAACAATTTTTGTAACCAGACAATATTTCATATCAAATATCTAAGCTTAAGCCCCTATAGTAAAATAAAATAAGTTTTTGTTTTTTTATTATATTCATATAAGGAAAGTCAATGACCCCCTGGGCCGTGGCCAATTTTGATCCTAGGGCTATAATTTGAACAATCTTTATTATTCTTAGTTTACTAGATAATGTTTCTAGAACTCTGAGAGTCTGATGTGTCGCCTGTCAACAGTATAGCTGTCAGTTAGGCATTAATTTTCTTCTTAAATATAGTTTATTAATAAACACTGCTCTTGCAATGTACACATAACTTTAACTTTAGTGGCATATGAACTTAATTTAACAAACTTGGTAGACACCCACTAGAAGATGCTTCATACGAAATATCTAAGCTCTAGCTCTTTAACTTTTTTTAAAGATTTTTTCTACATATATTTAAGGAAAAGCAATGATTCCCTGGGGTAGGGCCAATTTTGACCCCATGTATTTTATTTGAACAGACTTGGTACACACCTATACTTCATTAGATGTTTTATGCTAAATATCTAGCTCTTTTAGTTGTTTTTTTACATGATTTGTTTTAAACAACAATTGTTTTTGAACAACTTTTTTAAGAGCTTTATGACAGGAACATTCCTCATTCTTGCTCAGTTTTAACAATACTGGGTAATTGGTATAGAATGAGATGTTAAAGTTTGACACCATAAGGAATGCTTAACAGACACAGACTGATCACAAAAGCTCACCTTTGGGCACTTTGTGCTTAGATGAGATAAAAACAAAAGTGTACACACAGTGAAAATGGACTGTCTATAACATCACTATATAGTTTATAGCCCTTATTGCAAGACACTGCACTGTTTACTGTCCAATATTATGATGATACTTAAAGCAGCATGCCTCCAGATTCATGGTTAATTCAAGAAAGTTTTGAAAGTGCAGTTGTGAAGTAACCAAAAGGAAACAATATATACATTACAAGCACCACTTACGACCCACATAAATTACCGAATTAAGGATAAATATTAAACAAGAGGGCCATGATGGCCCTGAGATTGCTCACCTGTATATAGCCCCCCCCCCCCCACGACAGGGACAATTTTAACCCAAGGGCTTTTATTTGAACAAACTTGGTAGACACCCATAAGAAGATGTTTCATGCTAAACATCTATGCTCTAGCTCACTGGATTTTTTAAAAGAAGACTTTTTAAGTTTTTACTATACACATATAATTAAAAACAATGACACCCATAGGGCGGGGCCAGTTTTAACCCCAGGGCTTTTCTTTTGACAACCTTTGTAGACGCTTACTAGAAGATGTTTCATGCTTAATATCTAAACTCTAGCTATTTGGGTTATTTCAAAGAAGATTTTTAAGTTTTTGCTATACACATAATGAAAATAAATGACCCCCGGGGAGGGGCCAATTTTGACCCCAGGGCTTTTATTTGAACAAACTTGGTAGACACTCATTAGAAGATGTTTCATGCTAAATATCTCTGCTCTAGCTCAATGGGTTTTTTAAAAGAAGACTTTTTAAGTTTTTACTATACACGTATAGTTAAAAACAATGACACCCCTGGGGTGGGGCCAGTTTTGACCCCAGGGCTTTTATTTGAACAAACTTTGTAGACACTTACTAGAAAATGTTTCATGCTTAATATCTAAACTCTAGCTATTTGGGTTTTTTCAAAGAAGTTTTTACTATATGCAAATAGGGAAAATCAATGACCCCCGGGGCGGGGCCAATTTTGACCCCAGGGCTTTTATTTGAACAAACTTGGTAGACACCCATTAGAACATGTTCCATGCTAAATATCTTAGCTCTAGCTCTTTGAGTTCTTTCAAAGAAGATTTTTTTAAGTTTTTACTACATGCATATAGGGAAAATCTATGACCCCCTGGGGCGGGGCCAATTTTGACCCCAGGGCTTTTATTTGAACATACATGGTAGACACTCACTAGCAGATGTTTCATGCCAAATACCTAAGCTCTTCCTCTTTGGGTTTTTTAAGAGAAGATATTTTTCTTTCGGTTGCCATGGCAACCAGAGTTCTGCATGGAATTAAATTCTTTGAACAATTTTTAAAGGTGACCACCAAAGGAACATTCCTGTGAAGTTTGGATGATATTGGCTTAGTGGTTTATGAGGAGATGTCATTTAAAGTAAAAGTTTACGGACAGACGGACGACGGACGGACGGACGACGGACGAAAAGCGATCAGAAAAGCTCACCCTGTCACTTTGTGACAGGTGAGCTAAAAATAGCCCATTAATAACACATTAAAAATATGGTTATAACAAGCTCGCAAAATGCACCCCTCACAAAGTCTTTCTGCAGAGATGTGGGCATTATAGATATGCATATAGGAGATATGCTCTGGGCAATATCAGGAAAACATCTGGATAATTATCATCTCTTGTGACCTTGACCTTGCAAATATTAACCTAAATTACATGTGTCATACTTGTGGTCATGATAATTATCATTTGTGTTACAATCCATCAATAAATGATATTATTGGCCCCCTTCACATACTTTGACCACTCTCTGTGACCTTGACTTTGGTAGCAAGGACCTGGATTATGTGTGCAATAAACCTCACAGTGGTAAACATTTGTGCCAAGTTATATTGACCCCAATGTGTGAGTTTTACCTTGGCCGCAGGGACCTAAATTTTGCATATGACACTCCGGCTTACAATGGTGAACATTTGTGCCAAGTTATATTAAAAAAAACCTCTATGCATGTAAAAGTTTTGCTCCAGACAAATGTTTTTCAATGACTTGTAAATTTGACCTTGACCTTTAACCTAAAGACCTAGTTCATGAGCATGACACTGCTTTTCATAGTGGTGAACATTTGTATGTAGTTTCATTAAAATTCCTTCATGCATGTAGAAGATATGCTCTAGACAAAAATTGGAAGCTGCCAACCCATCCTGGCCAGAAAGGAAACTATAGTATGACAAATTTTTCAAACAGGCATATGAAATTTGATCATTAATCACATATAACATGTTAATTAATTATAACTCTTGAATATTATTACTTTTCCTAACATCTTAGAACACTTTTCAAATGTTTGATTTTATTGAAAGTATTTGGCTCATCTGGAGGCATGAAGTTTTAAAATGTTCAGTCTACCAATGAACAGTTCCTAACTCTAAGCAAAGTAATGGATTAATTGAGCATTTATGATGTTTAATAGATTTTCTTTCTATCATAAGCAAGAATTCCTTTTTAGCATGACAGAAATTCTATCAAATCTACAGAAATACATTTTTTTTAAAGTTACATCATAGTTTAAGCAAATAATTGAAAATTTGTTTGTGAAATGAAATTACCTCTTTTCTTTCATGACACGATCTTGTCTGTTCCAACCACCCATTTCCTCATGGCCTATTTTCACTATGCACTTGTCCTTTACTGGATCAAATTTAAAATCTTCACTTGTCAACACGTGGAACTGTACCTTAATGCATTTTTCATTGAATTTTCTGTAATAAAATGGACAGCTTAATAATTTAATAATACACAAATTGTAGACATGAATGTATAACAGAAAGTCATTCAAATCCCAATCGAAATATCAAATACTTATTGATGTCATTTAAACAAACCGGTTATAGTAATCTATAAGACAAAGTTGCACAGTCAAACATACTAGTTGGTCCAGAACAGAAGAATTATGTAAAGTCATTATGGCAAGTTTTCATTTAGTTTGCATGATGTTTTTTCCGATGTTTTGTAATCTAATGTTATTACATAACTAACAATTTCCCATTCTTGCCATTGGTCAATCACATGGCAATCAATAGAAACTGACATTGACTCCTACTTGCGATATAAAATAATCATTTAAACAACCTGGTTAAGCATGGAACTAAATTTAACCATCTATATTTGAAACAAATTGCTAATGACTTCACAGGATATAGGGCAGTAGCTGAGCAATCAAAAATAAATGTGTTAAATAATGGCTGCATTGCAAATTTGCTAAATGAACAATTCTATTTCGGTCATATAATAAAACAGTTATGGTGTGGAGATTTCGGTGATTATCCAAGTCAATGGACCTCTATCGGCCTCAGTGAATACCACATTTGCCTGGGCTTCTGTGAGTCCACATCACATATTAGCAAGTCCTATAGACTTAGATAGTGGTGGACACCTCATCATCATACGACAATCATACAGTATACAACTGAATTCCAGTACTGAAGAATCAATCTATGAGCAGTTGACATTCAATTATTGGCATACATAAATGATTGTACAGAATCATTGAATATTTCATAAGCTGTTTCATTCTGGTACATGACTTCAGTGCCATTGAAAATTGATAATGAATAAAAACAATAAAGAGTCACTTGAAATTTATGGCATCCTTTTGTCCAGAACATTTCCTCACACATTTTTCAATAGTTATTTATCATATCAGTATCTTCATTTATATACAACTTTTATCAAGAAATTTTTCAAAAATTGCATGTAATGATCTATTGAAAAACATTAATAAAAGTATTGAATTATCATTTTTTCTAAACTCACCTCTGAGTTGCTTTCACTTTATTTTCTTCAGCTTTTGACTGTTTCTTCAACTGTTCCTAACAGAAACAAATAAACAAAGTTTATACTCTTGATCAGGCAAATTCCTTTCAACAAATGAATGATTGTGTTCATGCAAAATAAAATATGGATTGACCTGTCCGTGTTTATGTTCAAACTAAAAGTAAAAATATTAACATAACGCATGTAATATAATCTGAAAGATACTAGAGTTTAGTAAAATATTATAGGATGTTGTAATTTTTTCAAATAGCCTTTCATGATTTTCACCATCTCATTCAAACACATTATTTCATATATATTTTCAACTTTTACTAGAACTAAATACATGTATATATCAATTAATAACCTTTTTTAAGTGAAAATACCTGTTGCTTTGGTTTTTTACTCAATTCAGCAGCTTTTGCTCGAGTCTTACTTCTTGTTTCTCTTTCTGTAGCTTTGTCAACATCTGTCCCCTCCTTATCTGATTTTTCATTCTCTTCATCCAGGTTATTTGTGTAGGAAAATGTTTCATCAGTTGTTGTATCCATATTTGCTGTTGATGAACTTTCATTATTATTTTCTATGTCATTTCCTCTATTTTGCTCAGTTGTGGTTCTTTCATCTGTGGTATCATTTAAAGTGAAAAGACTTTTTCCATAAGATGTTTTAATTTCATTGCCTTCACTTGATTCAGATATTCCATTGGATCTGTGAGATCCAAAGACCATTTCTTTCTGACTTCCCTTTTCCCCATCTGTAATTGTCTTTTGGTCAACAGCTCTGTTGCAGCTCGCAATGTTTTGTTCAATATGTTCTGCTTCATTGCTTGACGCTCCAGTTTCACTATCTTTATCCTGTTCAGAGGAATCTTGCCTTTGTACTGTGTCATCATTTGCTTCATGTTCAGTTTGCATCTCTGCATTGTCCGTATCTTGTTTTCTTTTCTTTTCATTCTCTTTCTGGTTTTTGCTTCGTTTAACCTGTCCATTATCATTGCTTTGTACTTCATCAGTATCGTCATCAATATCTTCATCTTTTGATGAATCATTTGATGTTTCTTTTACATTCTCCTCTTTTGCATCAGTTTTTAAAGTCTCAACAATGTTAAGATTTCCTTGCTGCCCTTTGCCAATATGGACATCTTCCAACTGTTCAGACAATTCAGAATTTGAATTTTCATTTATGATCTTTCTGTTTCCAGAACAGGCCATTTCAATTTCCCTTTGATCCTTCTCTTCATTAGCAGTTCCATCTTGATTATCTGCCATTTCTACATCATCAGTGGCTTCAGATTGTGTACATTCTTCATTTGTTGGACCAATATTGACATTGCTGTTTTCTGCAATTTTTGGTTGAGCTTCAAAAGAAACCTCTTGCCCTACTGTGCCAGCTTTTAGATCACTTTCGTTTTCAATTTTCTTCACATGGACACTGCTTTCAATATTCTTGGCAGCAGCACTTTCTTCATTTTCTTTATCATAATTTTGTTCATCCCGTACATGGACACTGCTTTCATTATTCTTGGCAGTGCTTTCTTCTTTTTGTTTATTATAAATTTCTTCATCCTGGATGCTGCCATCTTTATCTTTTGACTCCCCTAAACATGCTGTGCCAGTTTCTGATGACATTTTAGAGGCTGTGCTAGTCTGAGTATCCTCTTCTTCTTTAGATTTATCTGCATCCACCTTTGTAGAGGTCTCACTTTCATTTACAGCTATGGTTGGCTGTTCTGTTAAACATATAAACATATTCTTAAAACAAAAATCACTAATAATGATATTAAGTACTGGCCTATCATTATCATATAATCCAATGGTTATTCAAAATCTGTTTAAAATATTTGCAATAAATGAATAACAGGCCTTGATGAACCCTTCAAATTTACTTGCCCTTCATAAAATGTACTGTCCCTGCATTTTGACAGACAAAATTCGTAAAAATCAAACATAAGAGTCTAATCTACTATTTACCAGTCTTTATCGGTAAAATTGGCTTTATTCATTTACATATTAATAATATTGTTGATAATAATTTTCATTCTTTTAATATATAATCTTCAACGAAACATGAATACTTATTTCATTGAAGTATAGCATACAGTTACTCTCACAACAATCTAAGAGGATGGTGCAATTTTTGACAAAATTATTTTCACATTAAAAAAATCTTAAGTCAAGAAAGTATAATATTAAAGACTGTCTATAAACCACTAAATATATTGAAAACTCGTGATTTGCTCAGACAAACGCATAACCTTTCATTAATTGAATATGAAGATAAGGTTAAATTAAGCCAAGCTCTCTTTTTATAATAAATACGGTAATTTATATAAAGGCCAGACCACATCTATTGCCTTGTTATGTGTTAATGCTTTTGCTAAGGGTGATTGAGTTGAGTGATGGATTATTGATTTTGTATGAAAGCTATTTTTAGATGATTTCGTTCTGGGATAGCTAACATTTTCTTGGGAAATGACCACTCCTTTCATTGCTTCCAAAGTAATAGGAATACTTTATAAAGTCTTCATTATCTCAGTAATTTCTTGATAGAAATACTTGATATTTGCATTCATTTTATTCAATTTAGAATTCAGACAAAGCCTGGTATGTTTATATTTATTATTAAATGTGAAATTGTTTTTATTATAATTTGAATTGTTGTGTAATATTATGTATTATGTATTTTGTGAAATGTATTTGTCTTGTAAAATATTTGTTTTGTAATATGATAACTTATTGTTATTTTATTTGTTGCAGGTTTATTCTTTATTGTATAGATATACATATACAAACATCTACCAAAACCTGACAACTACAAATATATTTTATTACCTTAAAATGCATGTCACACAATTATGAAATTTACTGAAGATAGTTAATTAAACAACATATAAATACATGTACAATCATGTAATGAATTTGCAGTTCCTGTAATTTTGCCAAAAATACACCTGTTTTTCTGTTAAAAATTATAGCTGTATTTTTCTTCAGTTTTGATAAACATATAGCAAATTACACCTGTTTTTTCAAAAATACACCTGTTTTACACCTGTACTATGAACGAAATATGTAAATTAACCGTTTTTTTCTACGGGTCGAAAATACAGTTGTACTGTTTTACAGCTGTTTAAAATACAGGTGTAAAATTTTACAGGTCTAAAAATACAGGTGTATAATTTTTTCAGCTCAAAAATACAGGTGTAAAATTTTACAGGTCAAAAATAAAATACAGGTGCCCTTATTGTTTAAGGGATGAAAACCACACATAAATGCAGACATATTTGGCATTTTTGGTGCAAATATCTTTTTACAAGATTTAGGTACAAATAGCAGACATTATACAATCACAATAGTTCACAATGGCACTCTGTGCTAAGGTGAGCGGAAATATCACTGAACTAGGATCACTATGACACTAAAGATGAGGATAAATATAACAAATTTTCACTCTGTCTTAAATGGATTACTATATTTTATTACATTCTGTTACAGTCTTACACTAATGATACTGCATCAATAAAATCCAAGTCATGAATAACACTGCAGGCATCCTCTCATTTGAAGAAAAATTCACAAATGCTAATAAAGTTTTTTTTCTTGTAAAAATTTATTGCCAGTATTTGCCAAATTAATGTCTATGTATATAGGTACTTGGAATAAAGCCTTTGCAAGTGTTTTCTCTTCTTAACTGGTCCCTGTCATTGTGATTTAAGATCCTGTTTAAAGCAGCTTCACCTGAATCAAATAAAACAATAATAGTTTTATCATTAAATGAATACTAAATGATAATCCTACTTTCAATCCTTGCATTTTGTACTAATGACATCAATGCACATATTCAGTGCCTGACCAATTCATTTTTGTGTCGCCTCTACGGAGTAGTGGCGACATATAGGGATCACTTCTCCGTCGTCTGTCTGTCCGTCTGTCTGTCCGTCCGTCACAAAACTTGTCCGGACTACTCCTCATAAACTACTGGTGCAATTTCATCCAAATTTTACAGGAATGATCAGTACCAAGTCTAGTTGTGCATATTGTCAGCATTTTCCGGTTCAATGATTTTTGTCAGAGTTATGGCCCTTTAATAATTTTTATTTTTAAAGTTTGTCCGGACTACCTCTCTTATACCACTGATGCAATTTCAATGAAACTTTACAGGATTGATCTGTAGCTCAAGTCCTTGCGCATATTGCACGAGTTTTCCGGTTGAATGATTTTTGGCCAAGTTATGGCCCTTTGATAAAAAGGTGTTTTTTTTTAATTTCTGTGCGTTGCCAGATACACAAAAGCTTGTCCGGACTACTCCTCATAAACTTCTGGTGCAATTTCATCCAAACTTTACAGGAATGATCAGTACAAAGTCTAGTTGTGCACTCTCCGTCTGTCTGTCCGTCTGTCACAAAATTTGTCCCAACATGAAATTGGCCATCATGAGGCAACACATGTGATTACTGATCGCTCTTGTTTTAAATATGTACCAATTAACTTCAACCTATATAATTATGTTTTGACAATTAATGAATACATGTATTAATGTTCCTACTTAATGCATTGCTTGATAAAAAATATTTACTGAGCTGTTTCTATTAGTGGTAAAGGTAACTTAACTTTAATAATTAAGGTGCAACTTTTAAAGAGACTTATTTTGTTTAACCATGAATTTCTGCCAAAACTATTCTAATTATTTCAACTTTAATTTCGTTTTACCATGTCTGTTTTAGTCCTTTGCTTTGTTTCATGTGGAAACGTCTCTGGGGGTGTACTGTAACCTTTAAGAACAAAATTCATAGTTCATTATAAAAAATATGGAAATAAATTATGACCTTATTAATTAGAAGTTAAGTATAAATGTATTTAATATCTTCTCTTTGAGACTGTATTAAAAAATATAAAGCAGTTAACAGTCAATATTGTAGTATCTAATTAAATGCTATTGGTGACAAAATTTACATTTAAAAATTATTTTCCAACTGGGTAAACAGAATGTAAACTATTTATTTTTTTCAGAATAAAGTTGATAAAAATAATTGCTAGTAGACCTGAAATAATACTTGTTTTTTGCATAAATGTATCCAAAAGTTATTACCTGATTTTTTTTATGATTCTGGTTTTCATCTTCTTGTCCAAGGTTCAAATTTTATTTACAACCAGCATATCGCATAATCCAGAATATTGTCATTTTAACAAGACTGAAGCCTTGATTTTTTTCTTTGAAAAGTTAAAGAATTTACACCCAAACATTTTATACAAAATATTGCCTAGGAAATTGCTTACAACTTCACAATTTCTTAATTATCAATAAGATCCTTTGTGATACATGAGCACTATTTCCACAAATACCTCAGATTTCAAATTTTACAACTGTAGAACTGGACTGATTCATCATGCATAATGTTAAACAGGGTATTCCACAATCAAAGCACCCATCATTTTACTTTCACAATTATATAGACATATGAGAAAAAAAAGTGTAATGTAGAATTTCAAATTCATAATAAGTTTTTAAAGATAACTTTGCAATGTCGACTTCTAAACAGACTTCATTTAAAATCTATAAAGTTGTTTCCCCCCAGAAAAAATCAAATGGAAGAGTCTGGACTGTAGCAGAATTTATGGTGGGAAAACAGGTGGTTACCATAATCAGATTGGTCAGTGCATGGTGAAAAATCGGTCAGTTGTGTAAAATCATTGTAGAGTAATAGAGGCAGCGTTTATTTATTTATCCTACTTGTAAGAAATTATCAACAGGTTATTTATACTACAAACTAGATTAAGAGAGCTTATAATGTATGAGTTTACTTCATAACAATTAACTTTACAGAGTGAAGAATAACTCATAATTGTCTGCAAATTTGGAGTCTTGAATTAAAGAACATGTATCAGTTTGTTGTTGTTGTAGTTTTTGTTGTTGTTCTTCTTATACTTAAAAGAACAACAAGTACAGGCCTATGTGAACTATCTCATATTTTTTAAAACTAAATAATCATATACATGAATGTACATGTATATTCAAATTAAGATAGCACTCTTAGTTCAAAGTTGCTTACATAGTGGTGCAACGATATACCGGTATACCGGTATATTGCAATACAGTCTCGGGTCGATACGTACCGCGGTGCAGCTGCCCTGTATTGCGGTTTTTTCTTTAATATTTATGCCGAAATAACATGAATGTAGAAACTTCAATTTTGAATCAGTAAGCAACGATTTACGACATCAAAAACAAAACATCAACATGAAAAAATTGCCGACACTAGTCGGTCCCTGTGATGTATAAAGAAACGCCGCCGCGAACTTTTCCTGACGAAGCTCTTTGATCTTACCGCGCGAGTAGCAGAATCGTGTGACGTCATTTTCAGAGTGCGGCTTTGATCACGCTTTATTAAATTACACACAGTTACGCAATTTAAGTTAGGACTGATTAAAATTGTTGATTAACTGAAATAAAAAAATGGAAAAAGAAGATTTTGAACTAATTGAAAATGAGAAAGCTAAAAGTAAAATATGGGTGGAATTCAACTTAAAAAAAAGAAAATCTACAGGAAAAATTGAGGACGGCATAGCCGTTTGTAAAAAATGTAAGATGGATATTCGCTACAGCGGAGGGACCACAAATCTAAATACACATTTGACTCGACACCACAAAATCAATCTGCAACAAGGTGCATGCAAGTCTGGTACTAGTTTGATCGCGGCAACAGCGTCAACCGTAAAGCAGCCGACAATTATGAGTTCTTTTGGGCAGACTTCCAAATACAAGCCTACAAGTCAGCGGTATAAGGACATAACGCAAGCCGTCGGAAAATTCATTGTTAATGATCTTCGACCGTTTAGTGTTGTCTCAAATGATGGATTTAAGGATATGATTCGTGTTTTAGACCCTAGATACGACCTACCGTCACGTACGTACTTTTCTGAAACTGTTATACCGAACATGTACAATGAACGCGTGGGGTATGTTAAGTCATGCTTGAAAGAATCTACAGTCGCACTAACGACGGACGGCTGGACTAGTAGGTCCACCCAGTCCTACATCACAGTGACATGCTCTCAAATAACGAAGGACTGGGAATTGAAATCATTTGTCTTGCAAACGAGAGAGCTGCCCGAGAGTCACACTGGTGTAAACATAGCGAAAGTGTTGACGGACGCAGTTTCTGAGTGGGGTGTTAAACCTTCACCACCCCTTGTAACAGACAACGCTGCAAACATGGGTATAGCAGCCAAAGAGGCAGGATGCACACCTCACATCGGTTGCTTTGCCCACACTCTCAACTTGGCTGCTCAGAAAGCCCTTAAGGTAACGACGGTGTCACGCATTTTGGGGAGAGTTCGTCGCGTAGTATCATTTTTCCACCGAAGCACCACAGCCACTGCCTTATTGAAAGTGAAAACACAACAGTTAGGACTTAAAAACTTAAAGCTTATTCATGATGTCCCGACTAGATGGAATTCTGCAGCAGACATGTTGCAGAGATTCCTTGAATTGCAACCTGCAGTATATGCATCACTCATTGACAAATCTGTTCGTGCCAATGCCGGGGATATATCTACACTGTCGGACGCTGATATTACTACAGCAGAACAGATCATGACCTGCCTCTTGCCTCTAAAAGCCATAACAACTGTACTTTGTTCTGAGACGATGCCAACTGTATCCATCATACTCCCTCTGCAGACGAAATTACTCTCGCACGATTTGATTGTAAAGGAAGGAGACATGGAAGTTATCAAGCAGATGAAGCAGGCTATGCGTAATGACTTGAACAGCAGGTAAGTTTTTATTTTTATTAACTTACACCGTTACCCATGTATATTATATACTTTTTATTGCTGAAATATTAAATTATTAATTGTGATGAATATCACAGTATGGACTTTGTAATGTAAATTATCAAGTAACCTAGGTAACATAAACCCATGAATTTTAGTTCTCGCAACATCAAGTGTTTTGTATGCAAGTAAAATAAATAATATTATCTGAAAAGATCCTGTAGAAGCATAGATTGCAATCAGCATGTGTATTTGAAAAAAAGTAGTAATTGCTTTTAAATTTCCGTTGTTGGTTAATTTAAACTGTACCTTAAGATATTGATTTGTATTTCAGATACAACAGCATTAACGAGTTTTTACAGGAGTGTACAGTACTGGATCCTCGGTTTAAGGCTTCATGCCTTACACAACAGGAAGCCTTTGACACATACCACAGAATCTGTTCACTGGCAGCCAACACAAGACCAGCGAAGGTTAAGGTAGAACCAGAGGCAGACGTGGTCACGAGAGAGGCATCTCATACACCCCCACTTCCAGTCATGCCAGATAATGACACTTCTGCAGGTAGTTAATTTGGCAGATTTTTTTAACCATCTATGACTGTTCAATTTCATCACTTTGTCTACATTTTGTTAGTATCTAAACACAATTATTTTTTTAGGTTTTCCCCGGCTGTTAAACTTGTTATACAGTTTGAGCATATCTAGTTGTGATGTACATTTGCTAGCTGACAACACTTGACCATATTTCATTTCAGATGTTAAGCCAGCAGTTCCTCCTGTGAGTGAAATCAGAGCTTCAATTACTACCCAGTCAGCTCCCAGTGAAAGTGGTGGTTTAGCGTCTATCCTAGGAGATGTTATTTTTGTGAGAGAGGACAGAACACAAATTAAATCTGATATGGAACGTGCAAATGCTGAAATTGAAAACTTTAAAACTGAACCACTTGTTCCAATGTCATCCGATCCATTAGTGTGGTGGAAGAATAATGAATGGCAGTTCCCTCTTGTATCAAGCTTGGCACGTCAAAGACTGTGTATCCCTGCTACATCTGTCCCTTCAGAACGTGTCTTTAGTACTGCTGGGGATATTGTAACTGCCCAGAGGGCAGCTTTAAGTCCAGAAGTTGTTGACATGTTGATATTTCTTAAGAAAAACATTTAAAAAGCCTCAAGGACACAGGGTACTTATTCATTCTATAGATACATGTATGTGTTCTAAAAGAATAATAAGAAGAGTTGAAATATAGCTTACGTTTTACTGTTTTCTTTAATTATTTTAGTATACACTGTACCACAATACGTATCGCAATACAGGCTGTCTATATCGCAATATATCGCAATACGGGTTTGGCTGTATCGTTGCAGCTTACATAATGTTAAAAATTAAATCCTAAGTGTACATAATGTGCATGCAGTCTGTACAATTGCATCAAAGATATTAAAGTATTTAAATAAGAACAATTTCTCTAAAAGATTTCCTAAGTGTGAATTGTACATCTTTATCATTGAAAATACAGTTGTAGTTTTGGACGTAGATTATTTTCAGCACAAAATATCAGTTCAATATTTTGTAAGTATCAGAATTACATGTGAACATCTAAAACACAGGTCTTGTCTCAAAAATACACCTGTAAAATTGTTAAAATATACCTGTATTTCTTAGTCAAAATGTCAAATTCTGCAAACACAGGTCCCTAAGACCTGTATTTTTACAAAAACAGGTGTTTTTCAGTCGTCTTACAGTTGTAAAACAGGAGTTTTTTTTAACAGGAGTCTTTTTTAAAGCATACATCAGTATAATTTAAATCAATTTAAGTGACTTTTAGTGAAATATCTTGATAAATGCTAGATCTGCACATGCAACAATAAATTCCTTACAATGTATAATTTTGAAATAAGTCTGTATGTGTCAATAGATATACATTTGAGCACTTTTTATCATTTGAGCAGGGTTTTTTATTATTGAAAATTATTAAAGTACATAAAAGGGAGATAATTTGAAAATCATTCAGGATGGACTTGCAAATGACACATTGTGTTAATATGGTAAATATTTGTGCAAATGTATTTGAAAATCCTTGAATGAATTGAAAAGTTGTAGACTGGACTCAAAACAGGCTCTTTAACAGACTAAGTAAGTTTTGGCTTCTAAGTAGGGGCCTGAGTGTTGTATATGACACACCTTATTATGGTGAACATTTGTGCCAAGCTTTTCTGTGATGGATGAAAAAGTTATGATGTGACACAAAATATATCCTCAATCAGGCAATGTTGACCTTTGATCTACAAGTGTGACCTTAACCTGTGTTCTGGTTATTGCCCATGACAGGTCAGCTCATTATGGTAAAAAATTGTGCCAAATTATTTCAAAATCTCTTGATAAAGGCTGAGTTATGGACTGGACATGAAGTGTAACCAACAGACAGACAGATGGACAGACGGAGTCCATTTCTATATTCCCCTTTTCTCTCCAAAAGCAGGCATAGGAAAATGATATATAAGAAACACTCAGGTACTATAGACAGAAATGAGTTTAACAAAGAAGGCACTGAATTGTTATTCATGCATTACCACAAAGATGTCGGTTCTACAGTCTCAAAATTAAAATACTTGAAGGATAGTGGTTTTTACATGAAACCCAAAGAACTTTATTTTAGCATAAAACATGTATTTAACTATGTGTAAATACTGGTACAATTTACTCCAAATTGACTATGAAAAAGACAAATAAACAAGAGCTGTCAATAGGACAGATTGATATACTATTTTAGTACTTGATATTTAAACAAGAGCACGGATTTTAATGCAGCCATTCAAAAAGATGATTTCATTCAATATCCATGCCTTGCAAATTGATCCATAATTATAATCCTGAAGCTTGTAATAAATAATAATTCATAGTTTTGAAGAATAATACTGGACACAGAACTTTACCCAGAATTGTTCGCACCAACACTGCATACTTAATTAGGTCATCTAAGTGACTTTCCAGCTTTACTGGTGAAGGAAGACATCAGTTGCCCTTCAGGCACAAACGGACACCAGAGTAGAACCACCGACGTTCCATAAGCTAGCTTGATAACCTCCTCACATGAAAGAAATTAAAGTCCCTATAAAGATTCAAACCATTCAGTGGTAAGGGGGCAAATGGTTTGAAGTCAATTACCTAAACCATTCAGCCATGGATGCCAAACACACACTCTGACATGATGATTAACAATTCTGAACAAGAAAGTTGAAGAAAATCTGTTCATGAAAAAAAAGTTATAACCTGGACATAATAATCTGGCCAACAGCAAGGCAATTGCTATAGGGCATAAAAAAATACTTAATGATATTGGAATACTTAACTCTGGCCTCAATGTTATATAAAAGTATTTTCTAAGCTCTGTTTATATAGAATCTCAAGATTTTCATTGGTTATCGCAAATTCTGAGCTTATTTCAAACCAATATCTGAGTTTGAATTTAACTTAGATAATTCCTTTACAGCCTCAAACCTTAAAACCTGAGCCAAAAAGGCATTCATATCAACACCAATTTTAATCTTATAAAAAATCTAAAATATACAAACCTATTTCAAAGAGTAAGACTTATTTTCAATACCACATATAAATATTTATTAGGGCAACATTTCATACATATATTAATGAATTAAAAATCTGCACTCAGGGCATTGAAGAAAAATGAATTGCAATTACTATTAATAATTGTGAAGTTAAACCCTTTGGAATCATCTGTTTATTTTGCAAAGTATATATTTTATTTCAATAGGCTATATTTTATTCTTACCAGAAAAATCAATATTATACAAAAGAGATATTTTACTTGTCAATACCACAGCCTTTATTACAATTAAAGTCATAGCTGTGTTAATACCAATTTCCCTACATGTACGTCAGTTGTGACTCATTAATATCCAAAAGTTTCTTAAAGCCCAATTTTCTAAAATTCAACTTGATAATTATATTATGTTCCATAGGTTTAGTTTAATTTAGATTGAAATAAAGTTTTATTTCTCAAAATTTGACCTAAAATCTAAAATATTTGCATCTGAACAATTTGACGAGTGACACTCAGTTTATAAATATGTCACAGGGTGGAGAAAAATGTGCAGCCTGACCGGGATTCAAACCTGAGACCCTCGGAATACCATACCGCTATCTGGCCACTTACACATCATCTCCCCTAAAAAGTGAACAGTTCTGAACTGTGACATACTCCCCTGCTATATTGACATTTCGATGGCTGAACGCAACACTGGTCTAACTTGATTTTTTTTCAAAAATGACTTTTTTGCATTTTTTAGTCTAATTGCATGAAATACATCAGTAAATAAAATATTAGAAATATTTGTGAAATTTTATGGGTTTTATTTACCACTTGGCATATTGCTCTATCTCAAATGTGATTATAACTTAAATGCAACAGAGAGCTAACTCAAGTTAGAACTGTGTTGCATTAATCAAAATTTACTTATTGGATGATAACACTGTACTAACTCTAGTTAGCACAGTTTTGCTGTTAAATTTCAATACAATAAATTTCAGTATTGTTATATTTGCAGATATTAAGTTAGGTCTGGCATATTCATAAATACTTATTTCTACATTTTACCCATTTTTGTTGCCAAAATTGCAGAATTGTAAATCCAAGGCTCTTAATTAATTGTATTTTGCTTTCAAGGAACATTTATAATTTAAAATTGCTATATTATCTCTACATAGTCATATAAGATTGAAATAAAAAAAATAATAGTAAATTAACCTTTCAAAAAGTTTTTATTACAATATTTAAATCATATAATTCACTGTTAATGAAAACTAGACCTATCACTGAAGGTGATTAATACCCCCACCCGCAACTTTGACTTTTTGAAAAAAAAGTAGTCTGAAGAAAAATTTGAACACAAACTATCAACTGTGTACAAAGAAATATTTCAATTTATTGTAATCACAACTGGGGTCTCGAAATAAGCTTGCTATACACCAAGTTTGATTACAATATCTCATTCCTAACTCTAGTTATTGTCCGGAAACAATTTTTCAATTTTTAGTAACACTTTAACGGTGACCTTGACCCTAGGGGGTCCAAATGCAATACCAACCCAGGTCTTCATATAAGCTTCCTATACACCAAATTAGATTACAATATCTCATTCTTAACTCTAGTTATTGTCCAAAAGCCATTTTTCTTTTTTTCGTAACGGTGACCTTGACCTTGACCCCAGGGGGCCCAAATGCAATACCAACCAAGGTCTTCATATAAGCTTGTTATACGCCAAGTTTCATAACAATATCTTATTCCTAACTCTAGTTATTGTCCGGAAACAATATTTCTATTTTTAGTAACACTGTAACGGTGACCTTGACCCTAGGGGGTCCAAATGCAATACCAACCCAGGTCTTCATATAAGTTCCTTTACACCAAATTAGATTACAATATCTCATTCCTAACTCTAGTTATAGTCAGAAAACCATTTTTCTATTTTTCCTTACGGTGACCTTGACCTTGACCCAAGGGGGCCCAAATGCAATACCAAGGGCCCAAATGCAATACCAACCCAGGTCTTCATAAAAGCTTGCTATAGGCCAAGTTTGATAACAATATCTCATTCCTACGTCAAATTATTGTCCGGAAACCATTTTTCTATTTTTAGCAACGGTGACCTTGAACTTGACCCCAGGGGGCCCAAAATCATACCAACCCAGGTCTTCATATAAGCTTGCTATACACCAAGTTTGATAACAGTATCTCATTCCTAAGTCAAGTTATTGTCCGGAAACCATTTTTCTATTTTTAGTAACGGTGACCTTGACCTTGACCCCAGGTGGCCCAAATGCAATACCAACCCAGGTCTTTATATAAGCTTGCTATAGGCCAAGTTTGATAACAATATCTCATTCCTAACTCTAGTTATTGTCCGGAAACCATTTTTCTATTTTTAGGAACGGTGACCTTCACCTGGACCCCAGGGGGTCCAAATGTAATACCAACCGGAGTTTCCACATAAGGTTGCTATATACCAAGTTTGATTACAATACCTCATTCTAAACTCTAGTTATCGTCCGGAAACCATGATGTGGACCGACCGACCGACCAACCGACCGACCAACCGACCGACAAGCTGACTCCTATATATCCCCCCTAAACTTTGTTTGTGGGGGTATAATTATTTACAAGACAATTTGTGTTGTTTTTTGTTGTTATTGTTATTAATCATAGTGATCTATTAATACTGATGAAACAAGATCTCCCACCCTCTAAAAAAATTTCAAGATTTTATAATATTTCAATACAATTTGCTCCTAATTCTTAAAGGGACTCCAAGTTTGGCATCATGGGACTTAAAATATATT